CGAACATTATTTATGGACGGACTAAAAAGGAAAGTACGAACGCTAAAAATGGACGGAGGGAGTGTTGGAATATTGGAATAATAATATTGCTTATTGAATTATGGAGTACATGATGGAGTATATATAGGAGAGACTCCTAACACAACTAGGAATAGAGAATGGAAACTAACTAACATACAACATCTACCACAAATAGGATTAGGAAGCTGACTAATAATGAAACACTACCATAACCAATACTACAAGAAGTACTATTAAATTTTATTGTCTAACATCCCCCCTCAAGCTGAACTCTGGCTGAAGCAAGAGGAAGCTTGGACACTAGCTGGAAACTGGAAACTTTGAGAAGAGAGAGGTCTGACATGCGCCGGTGGCTGCTCACGTCGTTGGAGAAGAGAGAAGTGTGACGCGCGCCGGTGGCTGCTGACGTCGTTGGAGAAAAGAGAGTCTGACGCGCGCCGGTGGCTGCTAACGTCGTTGGAGAAGAGAGAAATTGACGTGCGCTAGTAGCTGCTGACGTCGATGAAGAAGAGAGAAGGTTGACGTGCGCTTGTAGCTGCTGACGTCGAAGAAGAATAGAGAAAGCTACTGGAGGTGCCTGTTTGACTAAAGATCCTTGACATTTTTTTGTCTTTTTCTTGGATCCGGGCAATGCCCTATTTCCTTCTTGAAGGGGTGAGTTGTAGAGGTTTTATTTCCTCTTTCACTACTTCCCCTATTGGCTTTGCTTTTAGAGAGAAAAAGTAGGTTAAGAATTGGTGATGGAAAAAAAAAATTTGGGTCTGAGATTTTGATATGGTGAATTGGAGAAAAACAACAATCATTTTTTTTCTTTTTTTTTGAGAAGATAGGATGATCTGAGAGAGTTTGTGAGGAGTTGGATTTTTTTTTTGAAGAACCATGAAGATGACAAGAGAGAAGTTCCTCCTTTGATAGTTTTTTTTGTATGATTTCAACAAGGGTTTTTTTCTTCTTCTTTTTCATTTGAGTGGAGAAGTTGATTTGAGGATAAAGAAGGAAAAGAAAATAGAGGTGAATAGGGTAGAGCCACCGTCGCCAGAATTACCGGCGGCGGCGGTGGGAGCAAAGATCTTTTTTTAGGTCACCAAGAGCGGTGGCTCCGATACCATGTTGGAATATTGGAATAAAAATATTGCTTATTGAATTATGGAGTAATGATAGAGTATATATAGGAGAGACTCCTAACACAACTAGGAATAGAGAATGGAAACTAACTAACATACAACATCTACCACAAATAGGATTAGGAAGCTGACTAATAATGAAACACTACCATAACCAATACTACAAGAAGTACTATTAGTATTATTGTCTAACAGGGAGTATATTATTTAGCACACAAAAAGTATCTGCTAATCAAACAGCCCAAATTTGGCAGTGTATTTGAAAACACAAGCTGTGGCAGTGTACCAAAAAAATTGATTTTAATTAGGCAGTGCGTTTGCAGTGTATTTGCATACACATGCAGCGCTATAAAACAAATAACAAATCAAAAGTAAAAAAATGGACGCACCTAACCGTTTTTAATCATTCTTGTTGCCTTCATTTTTTGTTTTATAAGTTTGACTTAATCCATACTTGCCCTGTTGATTTTCGAGAAGGCGATCACAGACAGGCAACGTCGTCATTTGTAGCTGATATAGTCCTTCATCGTTATGTAGACGCTACCAAGAAACCATACCCTCCTAATGACTTACGTGAGGACATGATACGGGAATATGGCGTTACAATGTCATATAGGAAAGCTTTACTAGTTAAACAGAAGGCAAAATAAAAACCAAAAGAATGTTTCCAGTGATTAAAAAACCAAGAACAACTGACATACATGTTATTTCGAATGCACTGCCAAATAGTTCAAAATCAATGCAAAACAACAATTTAAACCCACTGTCAAACAATGGAGAAAATCACTACTTTAATCATTTACCTATTCTTCTCTAAACCCACTGTCATTAATTCACATAAAACACACTGCCAACAACAATTTAAACACACTGCCAACAGTTCAAAAAAAAACCCCACTGCCTCAGTAAAAAACACAAAAACCCAAAAAAAACCAAATATGTTTCACTGGAGAACAAAAAAACCCAAAAAACACACTGACAACAAATGTTTCTTGGAATCCAAAAAACAAAAAAAAAAACTCTTGTGTACCTCCGAATCCAAAAAACCCAAAATAACTTTGTCATTATGATCACTTCCGTAACTTGGAATCCAAAAAACTACTGTTTTCTTTTAGGAGATAACAATAAAAACAAGGCTAAAAGTATAGGCCAAGAGGTCTCTCATTCCAAAGCAGATGCACATAGGGAAAGGGGAACCAATTCTCTCATGCAAGGGCATGACACAGTTTTGCACACAAAAAAGAAAGAAATAAAAAAGACAGTAGCTCATCTAAGAAGATTGACAGTTCCAAAGATGGAGCCACCAACTGAGGAGAGAATCCCCAACCAATCGTTGCACAAACAGAGATTTTTTGAGATCCGAAAGCTATGTAAAGGAGGGAGAATACTTTATTTCTAGACCCGTTACGAAACCGGTAACAACAACACTGCCCAAAAAAACACACACCCAAAAACATAAAAAAACAATTACGTTTCATTGGAGAACCAAAAAAACCCAAAAAATACTTTGCCAAAAAAATAAAAAAACAAAAATATCAATTACGTCTAACATTCACAAAAAACCGTTAAAACCATTAAAAACCGTTAAAAACAACACTGCCCAAAAAACACACAGTCACAAACACAAAAGCCCAAAAACAAATCAATTACGCTTCAGTGAAGAAAAAATAACCCAAAAAACACACTGCCAAAATACGAAAACAAAAAAAACAATCAATTACGTCTAACATTCACAAGAAAAATCCCTCAAGAATTTCAACAAAGCCAAAAAAATATTACGTTGATCAAAGAAACACTGCTAACCTTAAAAAAAGAACACACGGCAGAGAACCTAAGGGAAACACATACGTTTACGTTTTTGTAGTGAACCTTAAAAAAACACACTACCAACCTAAGGGAATCAAAAAAAACTTTTTCTAAAACAACCAAAATTTCATTGCAGTGACATGATTTGTATTGCCTATAACCACAAAAAGTTACTACTAATCAATTCACAACAAAAACTTATTTTGCCGATTAAGTTACTATGATGCCAAAACTACTACTCACCCAAAATTTTATTGTCCCTTATGCAGTGGGTTATTTGTGCTGAGGCAAATCAATTGAAAACTTTGTATGAGTAAATTTTTTGGAAGCGAATTCACTCCCAAAACGAATATCTTCTCCCATCTTTTGCTTAGAGAAATCTCGTCGAGCGCATCATCGTTTGCCATTGAAACCCCACGTCTCCTTCCCGAAGCTGCTGCGTTCACCCGTGTGACTTTAGAGGAATCGTTCGAGGAATATTGTGTGAAGCTTCGGTGCGTTCGGCTGCTGCTTTTGGCAGCCTATTACTTTTTCTTAACCTAATTAAGTATAATTCAATTTTGGGAGTTTATTTAAGGACAAAAACGGGAATTCATCCCAAAAACTAATAACACTGCTATTTTGAGTATTATAAGATTATTAAAGTGCTATTTTCGTATTTCTCTCAAAAAGGGATAGACGCCATAATTTTTTAGGGTTAAATATGTTTTCAATCACTGTAAAATAGACGAGTTTTATTTGTCACTGTAAAATATTTTTTGTTTAGGTCACCGCTATAAAATTTTTAATTTAAAAACAGCTCTTATACGTACTTAGATTTTTAATTTGTTGACATATCACATTTATTTAATACTCAACACCTTAATTTTGCATTTCTAATTTTTTCAGACACAATTCTCATATCACAAATTGTATTTTTTATCAAATTATATTTCCAATTTCGAAATTTTAATTACTCCATTTGTTTCTGAGTATTTGTTCACTTTTGACTTTTTGCTGTCAAAATTGATAAACATTGAACTCAAAATAAATTAAAATGATAATAGATATTGGTAGAAAAATAGTTTTTATTAGATTTATTATATCAAATATTTTCAAAATATTATTTTATCTAATTAATATACAATATAAATTTTATTTAATTAAAGGTAAAAGTTTAAAAACAGTTGACAAAAAAAAGTCAAAATTGAACAATTACCCAGGGCCGGAGGTAGTATATAACATTCCTAAGAAATTTAGAAATTGAAAAGGTAATATGAATAAGTACATAATTTAGGACTTAGAAATTATATCAGTTGTAACTAGAATTGCAAGACTAAAATGTTTAGTATGAAATAAATGTGTTATCTTATCAAATTACAATTTCTGATAATATTAAAGGACTATTTTCAAATAATTTTTTTTATAAGAATGACTTTGACAAAAAATATATTAGAGTGACCCAAAAACAAAAGTGGTGATTTTTTATTCCAATAACTTTTACTTCCTCCGTCCTAAAACATTTTCTCAGTTACTATTCACACAGTCAAATTTCTTTACCTATTTTCGTTAGTTATCTGATAAAATAATATAGTATTGTCCCCTCTTCTTTTGTAGAACTTTTGATGTAGTTTTTAAATATATAAATTGTATTCTTTATTTTTCACCTAAATCAAATAAATTTAATCGAAAATAAAATTGATTCAATCTCGTAAATTGAAATGAGTAGAACTTTTTAGGACAGAAAGAGTATTAGTTTGTGCTGGAATAAGAGTTTTCTCCCTTAAGTTCCCACATAATCAAAGCTTTAGCATAAAAAGACTCTTCCCTCCTATCCTATCTTCAACCAAGCACACTTCACTCTCTCCCTAAGCGCTGCCGTCCTCAGCTGCCATCCCTGCACACACAGGGCCAGCCCGGGGACGGACAGCCCGACCGGACCGGGCCCGTCACTTAAAGGGTCCCAATTCTCTTTTAAAAATACGTAGTATTATATATATATATATAACAAGCCCATTACTCCATAAGGCCCAAAATACAAATAAAAAATCAGCCTACTTTTAGGGAATCAGAGAGAGAGAGAGACACCTCGCAAAAATCAGCCTTCTTCTACCTTCGATCGACCCGTCGGAAATCAGCCTCACCTTCGCGGCCAGTTGCTGGTTCTTCCCCCGCCAGCCGCCGCCAGGTATTTCACTTACTCTTCAGTCTCTCCAATGTCATGCTTTCAGTTTCAGCTTTCTTTTATAAGTTTTATCCGTTGGCTTTACATTCTTTACTCATACTATCTTAGAAATTTAATCATCTAAAACAGTTTCAAGTTAGATTTCTTCAATTATAATTTCTCTAAGTAAAAGAAAATGTTTGGATTGTGATTTCAGCTCTGCACTTCTGGGTTTCTTTTTCTATTAAAACTGCCAGATTTTAGTTCAAATCTATCCTTTACTATCACTTCAATCCCATTAGATTTTCAGCTTTTTCGTTGTGAAGTTTTGGGTATTTGAGTTTCTCTCACTTTCCCCGAGTCTTAAACGACTATATATTTGTTTTGTTCAAATCATGAATGTTTGGTGATTTATATTTTCAATTGACTGCAGAGCAGTTGCAATTAATCTGTTACTACAATAAAAATTTTTGTACTTCATATTTTTCATACTCTTATTTTTCTTTTTTCACTTGAATTGCTTGGAAGTTTAGGTTATAGGTTTTCACTGGAAGTTTTTTTTGGGCTAATGTCATTTTTTATTTTTCGTTCTAACTTTGTCTTAAGCTTTTTTTGCTGCAAATGTTTTATGTTCTTCAATTGTTTGACTCAAGCGTAACTCTAACAGTTTAACTTTGATTTTGCTGCAAATGTTTAGGTTCTGTTTGCAAAGTTTTATTAATGTTGTAATGTGTCATAAAGTATTTTAATTATAATTGTAGTCTATGGAGGAAGATTTGCTCACTGCAATAAATAATTGTCAATTGCTATTTTGTTAATTCATATTCATTCTTCATTTAATTATTTTAGAATATTAACTAGGATTATTCTTAGAGTATATTAAATGTTAATTATTTTAGAATATTCTTTTTCGTTTATTTTCCCTTTATTTTGCAGATATTTTTGTTCGTTATTTTGCAGACTTTTATTTTCCACTTGTTTTTACCTTTAGTTTTGGTTCTTTTTCTTAAAATGGTACCCGAGTTTTATCTGGTTTGAGTGAGGTGATGGTAGAATTCATTTGTCTGTCAATCCTCTAACTCTTTTGAATGATGTTTAATATGAATCCCAAGTCCCAACAGGTTCTGATCACTAAAAAAAGGGAAGGTATACCGGGACAGCTTTTCTCAAAATATCAATATACCGGACAAGGGAATACCAATTAAAAGATAAAATACATATTTTAGGAACATAAACATAAATTTTAAATTATTAGGCATAAGTCCTCTACGGTCATTCTTTTCTGTGTCGGCCCAGGCCATTAAATTCTTAGGACCGGCCCTGTGCACAGGTTAACTTCCGTGCTTTAAGTGGGGGCATTTTGAAGCGGGAGGCTGGTGACTAGAGAATGGAAACGGCCAACAGCTCTGAGGATTTATCATCACAGCTGGAGCTGGATGCATTCCGATGCCTTTTCCCCTTGCGTTTTCACGAGCGTTATCTTGCTGAATCTATACGACCTGATGGACGAGCACTTGGGGAAGCTAGACCTACAACAGTCGTGCTTGGTTGGCTAATTTTTCTCTTGGTTATAATGTTATTTGTGAACTCTTTGGGTTTGTTTTTGAATTTTCGGTCTAATTGAATGTTTTTTTTTAAAAAAATAATTTAATATCTAGGCAGTGTGGCATCTGCAGATGGATCTTCACTGGTAAAGATTGGTTCCACAGTAAGCATTCTTCTTCTAGCTGTTAAATTCATGATGTGTATATGCTTGTTTCAAGTAAAAATTCTTAGTTTTTCTGCCCCTGAAAATTTTGGTTATTCTGCTAATGTGCAGACAATGTTGGCTGCAATCAAGATGGAAGTCATGACTCCAACTGCAGAATCTCCTGATGAGGGATCCATAGGTCGACACTATTTTGACCTATGCCGCAATTATCATGTACTGTTGATGTGGTTGTGATAAGAGTAATGCTAAATGTCTAGATTATAGTCATGTTTTGGGGCTTGAAATGAGACTCCTTAAATTCTAGAACGAATTGAATACGACTTTTTGGACATCATTTGTTACGACCCGGGAATACAATTGTTCTTATAAATACTTGTGATTTCAGCTGTTGAATTCCACATGCCTCCAATTTGTTCTTCTCTTGTCCGGCCTGGCAGGCCTGCAGAGGCAGCTCCAGTAATTTCGAAACAACTATCCGATACCATCGCTAGGTATGTTACTGCTTTGGATTTCATGTTATCTGATTTGTAGCACTAGTTATCTTTTTTAATGCATCACTTTTTGCTTAACGTTTGGTTTGTAATATAGTGTATATTATTTTGTCATGTGTGTCTAACTCATGAATTGCTTCTTTGGGGGTAGTAATGCTATTGTGGTGCTCCATGTTTTGGTAAATAAACCTTAAGTAGAGTGTTAAGTAATAATAAATCTGGCACTCCCCCAATTATGTTTTTACACTTTGTTGCCTCACACATTATCAGTTTTTTACTTTTCCAAAAGAATTAATGAAAACATTTAATTGTGCATATGGCATGTGAATGACATAAAGTAGAGATAATATAGGATTGAAAAACAATTTATTAACATCAGATTGGTAGGACTCAGAGACTGCAATGTTAGCTGGGAGATTCGGGCTGCTATTTGTGCATGCTCTATCTAACCCCACTTGGAAGTAGGGTGTGGAGAGGGCAAGGAGTATGCAGACTTTCCCTCTATCCCAATGAGTAGAGATGCTTTATGTGAAAACCTCCTGACTAAGCAACAATTTGGTTGTGCATTGTCTATCTCTAGTTATCTATGTCATATTCCTAAATATGATATCAATTCTCAGTTTTCAACTAAGGGTGTGGCTATATCCACACCCCTTCTAGGCTGTATATTCACCCCATTCATGACAAATAGACAATTTTATCCTTGCAACTACAAAAGAGACAAATTTGATAATAGTTATTTTAGGGCAAAATTGTCATTTTAACATAAAAGAATGAATTTAGGCAAACAGGCGTGTGCATTTTGCCCTACCCTTCAAATAACTACTTTTTCTCGATGCTCTCCGTTTGAATCTTCTCTTTTCTTCTTGGAACGATCTGATGTGCTGACAAAATCTAACTTTCTTAGTTCTGGCATGGTTGACTTGAAAGAACTGTGTGTGGCCAGTGGGAAAGCTGCTTGGATGGCCTACCTGGTATGGGATTTAGTTTTTTTCTTTTTTTATTTGCTTGCTCCCGTGCTTTTAAAACCACTTCCACATATGAGGTGAGTAAAGATGTATAGGCGCACACACAGTCCAATGATCTGATGATCTCTGTAATGTTATGCCAGTGAAACATTATTTTTTAAGTCCCAGCCAAATCATACTCCCAAGACCTTCAAATTGGGAATATAAGTAATATGCTATCTGAGACATATTTATTTAATGTACTCCGTAGTATGTAGTCTTAAATTTGCCACATATTTTTTCTCCAGTCAATTTATTCTTTCCAATTATGATTAGCTTCTCAATTGTATGTACTGATGCACATTGTGTATTGCTTCATCCATCGATATGTGAACATTTAACCACATTTGCAGGACATATACTGCTTGGACGCTGATGGTGCGCTGTTTGATGCTGCATTACTTTCAGCAGTTGCTGCATTTTCACATTGTGAGTGTTATGGCTTCACCCTTCTATCTGTTTTAGAGTCCGTTTAAATTACAGAGATCGTTGGGGAACAACATAGAGAGGAAAATATAGCTGAACTTTTGAAAGAAAGAGAATATGAAATGAAATAGTGCTTCAAAGTCAATACATTTGTTTTTAGTATTTGTTCAAATTCCTTTTGTTTAAGTACTTTGATATTTATTAATATGCAATTTTTTTTAAACATCAATCCTGATTCATTTTCATTTTGTTTTTTTGAGGTAAATCCCCTAAATCCAATCATAAAAAACAACTTAACTCCCTTTTCCCCTAATTTTCCAAGATCCAAACATACCCTCATAGTATCTCGTAGAGAGTGCAATAAGCTCTATGCTTGCTTTCGCTTTCATCTACGAGTAAATATGCTTTTTTGCCTTGCTTCAAACGGGCTCAATGAAATCTACTGTGTACATTAAATTTATATCCTTTTTTCCCCAAAGTTCACCCTTCTGATCATTTTATGAACGAGAAAAGTATAGTAACATCATTAAGTAATACCTCCATACAATGAGGAGATTTTAGATATGGAGTAAAATATAAAGCTTTTCTTAAAGTCTGCAATTTGGTCAGTAAAGATGTATACTCACTTTGTCTGGATTTAGTCGTCCACTCCAAAAGAAATACTCCTCCGTCCCAAAAATCCGTTCCTCTTTCATTGTTTACTTGTCCCAACCTACCCCATCTCCCTTCTACCCCCTTCTCATTTTGACATTTTATAAACCCTGCTCATTTCAATTGTCGACATTTTTCCTTGGTCAAACTTCTACAGCTTCCCCTTCTCCTCCCAAAAGTCAATACTAGAAAATTTTGTGGGACGGAGAAAGTAAATTTTAAGGAATGAGTTCAAAATGTCAAGTAAGTCTTCAAATGAGTGTCTTTCAGTCACATCAACAATGCTCATACGGTCATACCCTGTCTCAAGGATGTTTAAGATTCATCATAATTTATTTTCAAATAAGAATAGTGAACAACTAATTTCGGACAAACAAAAACATAGAAAGTGGACAATTAAATTATAACGGAGGGAGTATCACATCATCTGAGTGTGCTGTCAAAGATCTTAAATGTTCTTATTCAGCAGAAAGCCTGGTCGTATTCAAATTTGAAAAATGTTACCCTTGCAGCTGGTTAAAAAAAGGTTTCTTTTGCCGCAGTGGGAATTCCTGCAGCTTCGCTAAATGATGACGGGAGAGTAGTTCTTGGTTCCAAAAACAAAAACAAAAAGGAGGTTAGAGAGTTGGAGAATGAGCATGCCTTTAAAGAAGAGAAGAGAAAACTGCATTTGAACAGCTTTCCGTTCTCCTTGACATGCTTACTCCACAAGAAATATATCCTAGCAGACCCCACAGCCGAGGAAGAGACTACAATGGAAACCGTTCTTACCGTCGTATTGAATTCATCTTACCAACTCGTATCTCTCAACAAGCCAGGGGGCCCCGTCCTGGCCAACACTTCAGCGATCCAGGTCCGTCTACATGCTGATCTCTATCTCCTTCCATTGTCACTACAAATAACAGTTTTTTTTTCATGCCTTGGTAACTTTAAAGTCCAAATAAAATGTTAACATGTATTGTGACGTTTTCTTCAGGATTGCATTGTATTGGCGAAGAAACGAGTCAATCAACTAAAGAGCATACTGAACGAAGCTATGTCTGATATGGAGGTGGACTAAAGAGTATGTAGGCTCATTGTTCTTTTTCCTATCTACAAATTAAAAGGTTTGTTTAAAAGTGTTTGTCGTTAACCTTTTAGCATGTGGAATGCATACTCCATATATTTCAGAAATATATGGAGGGCATACTCCATATATTTCAAAATTATGTACCCATTTTTGCTATCTCTTCATTTTTCAATGGTTAAACAAGAAGGCAAATTCTTCGGTGGACTGTAAGGTTCATGCATCTTAGTGTACTTATAGCATGAAAGAAGTGTGCTTTTGCAAAAAGGAAAATATCTACATGCAAGCTCATGAAAAATATGAGAAAGTTCACATTTTAAATGTAGACCTTGAGACCATGTAAAGATTACTCAAACCCATTAAAAAATATACTTCATCCCAAAAAGCGCCTTATACTTGATGTTTTTACAATTCTTAATACGATCCTTTGACTAAACTATAATTGTACACAAATACTACCTCCGTCCTATTGTCTTTGTCCACTTTTGACTTTTGGAACTGTTCATCTAAGCACTTTGACTCATCAAATTCTTTCATTGTGTAAGCCTAAATATAGTCATGTGTGATCTTGTTTGATTTGTCTTAACATATAGATTATTAATAGATAATTTCTATAATTTTTTAATATACAAATTATAAGATAAAATGGATTAAAGAAGTGCATTGGATGGTGTGCCAAAAGGTAAGTGGACAAAGACAGTGGGACGGAGGGAGTAAATGTTACTGAATATAAAATATGACAAATCAAAATATCTTAAAATGTGTCCAATTATATTAAATTTACATTATGTAATTTATGATCAAAGTTTGTAAAATTTGATCCAAAAAAATCAAATGTTTTTTTTTAAAAATGGACGGTGTACCATGTTTTCATTTTTGCACCATTGTCATGATTTGTCCTTGTACCAATGCCAATGCATATCAAAACCTAATTTCAAAAGCACATAGAAGCAAAGACATAGAGTACATGTAAATTATTTATAACGTTTTTATATAACCTTTTTTGGGTTTAGGACCTGTCAAGTTTTTATATTCAAACCTCAATTCAATGCTTATTAATTTGCATGTATGATTAAAATGATGGATTTAATCTAAACTGCATAAATTTCAATTACGTATTTGATTTTTAAGAAATAGACTCGTCTGTTTTTCTTTGGTTGTTGGAAATAGTTTGTGGTTTGGATTGTTAATTCTTACTTGCATGTTGATTTGAAACTAATAGGAATCTTTTATTAAAGTTAAAAAATTGAAAAATAAAAATATTACGGAGTAGAAAATTGGAATAATTTACATGTATAATTTAAGAAAAATGATGTGGATTTTAGATTTACCATGAGATGAAACGAAGAAAAATTGGGTTAAGGAATAAAATAGGAGTAAAACATTTATTAAAATCCAAAATAGGAGTGAAAACATAAAACCCCCAAAATAGGAGTTGTTGACTCACCATTTTCCACCGCCAGGATCTGCCACTTTCATCACCCCTTGCTCATGTTATCGTCGCACGTTGTCGGCATCACTAACCCCCACAGGTGTAGTGTCATGGTGCTACATGGAGAAAAAATAATTCATACATCGTCAATTGAAAATACAATGCTAAAAATGACAACATACAGTGACAAACATGACAGTGTAAAATGTAAGAATACAAAATTTTAGATTAATCGAAAATAAATTACCAAAGATGTCAATGCACAGTGACAAGCGTGGCTCTGCAAAATGTCAAAAGTTCAATTGTATTCATTGATACATGTGCATGCATCGAGCCCACAAAGTCATTAATTATGGGAAGAAGACAAATTCTTTCCGATTATTTTAATCTACAGAGATAATTAGGGGCTTTTCTTATGGGGAATAAGAAATCAACCATTTAGCCCAATCCCACTTCAAAAATGCCCATCAAAAGTTGCTATAATTAGACTTTTCTCAACTAAACAATTAAAATAAAAAAACACATAATCTTTCCATTGTTAGCTCTATTCCAAAACACAAAAAAAAAATCCTAAAGCACAGGAAAAATAGATAGGAAGTATAAGTTGTACAAGTTAGAGTATTTTGGATGAATTGCACAGCTTTGGTTTGTAGTTCTATTCAAGCACTTGTTCCCGGCGGCTAAACAATTGTACAATAAAAATAGTTAATTACTTCTACTTAGAGAAGTTTATGTTTGAATTCCTATTTTGAGGATATAATACATGTTTTACTCCTATTTAGGGGGTTTTCTTAGAAAAATTTAAGTGGAGTTTTATCATGTAAAATTTACCATGTGCTCTTAGTGATTTTATCATCAAAGAAGCAGTTTTTTCTAGGGGTGGGTTCGGTTTTGGCGGTTCGGTTTTTACCCAAAACTAAAGACAAAACGGAAGGTAAATTGACGGTTCGGTTCGGTTCGATTTTGCATAAAAAATATGTTAACCGTTGGTTATTCGGTTTTTATTTTGGTTTTTTTCGGTTTTTTCGGTTTATAAAAGTAAACACTTATAAGCATTAAAAATTGTCTAAATACTAACTCGACGAAACAATAACAATACGTAAGTTTGAGTTTGGTTTTTTTGCTTGATTTTTACACACAAAAAAATGCCGAACGGAAGGTTAGTGTTCTATTCGGTTCAATTTTACATACAAAATATGTGTCAAGTGCCTAAAAAACATCTAGGAGATTCCAAATAGGCAAATAGTCCTAAAGATATCGTATGTAAAATCAACTATAGAGAATTTATGTTTTTTTATATAATACTTTTATTTACATTATAACATCAAAGTTTTTTTTATGTAAATATGTTAACTACTCATATTAATTTTTAATGTTATATAATTCTATATTAGGATTAGTTATTGGTATTTATATCTTAGACTTTTTAAAGTTTATAACATGGTTAAAATGTTTAATTAATAGTTAATTAAAAAACTTTAATCAACTAGTAATATATTTGCATGTTTGTTTATACTCCGTATGATTTTTATACATATCACATATACTCATATACATAAAAAAGAAGCATATAAATAAGTTCGGTTTATTCAGTTTGGTTCGGTTTTTTAAAGTAAAAACCAAAACGGATCTAAACAATAGCGGATCGGTTCGGTTTCAGTTTTTTCGATTCGGTTTTTTTTTCTAGCTCGTTTCGATCGATTTCGGTTGAGTTTTCGGTTTTTTCCAACCTAGTACTTTTTTCTTTGAGAAAAATTGACGTGGATCTTCGATTTATTATAACTTACCATGACAAAAATTGGGTCATTAATAGCCACAAAATTGCACCAGCCGGGAATCGAACCCGGGTCTGTACCGTGGCAGGGTACTATTCTACCACTAGACCACTGGTGCTTGTTGATTATTGCATGTGATACCGGCTTATAAATCAAAGAAAGTTTAAAATTCCGAAGTTAGTATCTGCGTTTATTGATGTTTTGAATTTTGATGCTAAATACTCCGTACATATATTCCTTGAGTCCCATATTAAAAATACATTTTCAAAGAGTTTAAAAAAGAATTCGCATATAATAGAAATGACAAATTTTATAGTGCACCTAAGAATCTACATATGAATAAAATTAACATTTTTTACTACTTAAAGAATATTTTTTTGTTAAATAAAAAAATAAAAAATGATATGCATCCAAGATGCACCATATAAGCACTCAATAAAAATTTATATAGGAGGAGGAATAAAAATGACAAAGCACGAAGTATTTTTATCGCCCAAGGTGCACCAAAGAAACACTCATCAAAGAAAGCAATTATATATTATTCTGAAATTAATCAAAAAGAAAAATATATTTTTCATTTTTTATTCATTTTTGAAAAAGAACCATGTTTTATATTGTTGGGAATGCGCGTACCCTAACTCCAACCCCGTATACTGTTTATTTTGAAATTGAAAATATGATACGGAGTACTTATTATTCATCGCAAGGCATGCTTTAAATCATTCTCTTGCATAATTAAATAAAAAATATAATTCATGTAAAATTTATTATTTGTAATGCAAAAATAAAATCGTTACCTTTGATTTATTTCTCTGATTGTTTTGATGTACAAGATGTGATGACAAGTTTTTCTATTAATTGAGATTAATAAAAAGTATTACTCCGTATTTCATTTGTCTCATTATATTTGTAAATGAGTTAGTGACATGCATCTAAAAATATAAAAATTATATGATTCAGATTTAATTTTAAAGGTAAAAAAAATAAGAGTGTGTGTGAGTTACACAAATATTTTTAATATGATTTGAGACAAAATTATAATGGTATAGAAGAAAATAAAAAAGGAAAAAAAATTGAAAAATTGGAAATTTTCGTAAGAGAGGAGTATTATTATTACTGGGAGCGCCACTGCTGCAAATGCGCTTCGCCATCTCCTGTTGTGTTCCGAAGTTGTCACTGGTGGTCATTGGCCGCTGCTATTGCTTGTTGAGTCGTGTTGGTTTATCACCGGATACACTCTGATAAAAATAACAACAACAATAATATTAACAATAGTAATAATAATAATAATAATAATATAATAAAAATTAATAATAATAATAATAATACGGCTCCCTTTGTTTGACAACAAATCATAATATAATTGTAACACCCCACCCTGCATAATCTGAACAAACGAGTTAGCAAATCGGGTTGCTACTAGTTTGATATTCACATGTAAATATTTTAAAAACATCTAAAATAAAACATCAATTCACATTTATTTAAAAAAATTATAATTTAATCAGAGTAAAATAACTCAAATGTTGCGGAAGCTTTTTAAAATAATTTTACATAAGATACATGCAATTTTAGCAAAATAAAGTCAACAGAGTAATTAATTGATGGTCAAACAACTTTGGGTTTTCCACTTCGCAGGACATCACGGATCACCGAGTTGCTCGGGGTTTTAGAATGAATATTATGTTATTCGTAAGTGAATATTGAACAAATTTTTGAAAATGAGGAAGTCGTTATTTCTGAATGAGTATTGCGTTATTTCAAAATGCGTATCACGTTTTTCAAATGAAACATTATGCTTGTGCGAGAATGAGTACTACTTTACTCTGGAATGAGTACTACATGAATTTTAGGGTACAGTTTACACTTTCTAACCAGTTAGGATAGATTAAAGCTCAATTACCTCATTCGGCAGTCGTATCTTGGACCCATTAAGTCCGATGCTCAATTCGCTTGTGCAGTTGGGTTTAGAACAGCGAGTCCTACAACGTCAGTCAACTCTTGCATTAAATACGCAAATTAGAAAATAAATCATCCTATTGACCAGTTCAGTAATTAATTAATTATATAAATTAATTAAAAGTGTTAAACCGGGTTTCGGGGCGTTACATGATTTTTTGGAATCTAAATCCAAATATGATTCTGAATAAATATTCAGATCCTTATCGAATACGAATCAAGGATATTCGATTCGCGAGTTTGACGAATACATTCAAAATATAAATTTAATTATACAAATTATACACACACGCACACATACATACATACATACATGCATATATACACACACACATACATACATACATATATAAATATATATATAATATGAGTAGTTTATAATTTTTTCCTAATAGCTAATAAATAGTTCAAATGGTTATAAAATATTTTAAAATCTAAATGAATCGAATATTTTTAAATGAACCTAATATGTTTAGTATATTAAACGAACCAAATATGAATCTTAAAAAATTTTCGAATCGAATTCAAATTCGAATATCAACTTATCCTAATGAAAACGAATATTATTCATGAATATTCAATTCGATTCGTTTTGCAACCCTAAAAAACATTTAATACTGCGTAGTTTTTATTTTTTCCAAGAAAAAAAGAAAAGAAAAAGAAAAGAATAATAATCCGGAAAATAGGTGGAAAGTGAGAAAAGCCAACATGGCCGGTTGCACTATGACCGGATCTTTATGCCAAATTGAATAAACATTTCCTCTCTCTCTCTCTCTCTCTCTCTCTCTCTCTTCATCACCGTCATCACCCTCCACCGGACTGTCTTACCTGTCTGAACGCACGTACCCCTTATATATATATATATATATATATACATATTTTCATTCATTCTTTTCTTTTTTCGCACGTAGTCTTTACCCGCCCTCCGAAGGACTGGAATACCGCAATTTCTGCTATTTTTAATCGAGGAATTGCTCTGTTTTCCACCATTCATTTGACCTTTTTTTCCTTCAATCGCAAGCTCTGATCGCCGGAAAATAATCTGTCCGAGGATCGTTGATATCTCCGGAGGTGAGTCCGTCTTCCATTTGTTCAGATCGTTCAGATGCCTCTCGAATTGATTCATTGATTGTTTATTCGATGTATGCTGTTTGGAATGCCGGCATTGTGATCCGAGGATGCTTGCTCGTTCATGTGCGAATTGTGGCTATTCGTTAATGCCAATTCACCCGGGACAAGTCCGATCTCGTTCTGTGATTTGTACATTGTGACCTCATTTCACGATTTGTTATTTTCAAAGCTGATTGTTTAATAATTTGTTGGGTGTCATGTTGTATATCAGAGGTTGTCTAGTCTTTGGGTGATTGTTTGTGAGGTCAAATTTACAGTGATTAGCTGAAATATGATTGTCTTCATAGCCAGCTGGCATACAAGGACACAAGGACACCTGCACACGAATTTCAAAAAATTGGCTAACACCCAAGAGATTATTAAAAGAAGATAATATTTTGCTTGTTTTAGCTTTATTTATATCAATTTCCTCGTGAAGATTGAAATGTTGATAAAATTGGAGTGATGATTGGAGTTGGGAACTTTCTTCTGGAGTTTCTGGTAGTATTTGGTTTTATGCTCAAAGTACTTACTCCGTTTATGATTTAAGTTCCATGGAGATACCTGCCCAGATGGGAATATTCTTTTGAAAGAATAATGTACACTCTATCTGCATTTCTGACTATGCCCATCATAAAAGTCCATTTGTAAAGTAAAATGCTTTCAAGCTTAATGAATGCCAGAGTCACAAGATAATGCTATATGCCTGTAATTCAAGAAGACTTTACAATACAAGTTCATTTAAACCACAGGATTTTGTAACTGTTTACTTCACAATTTCTGCTTTTGTCTTTTTCATATTCATTAACTATTCATGCTTCTTTCGCCTCTGCAGCCCTGTTTGTGGAACTTTTCAGAGCTGAAATAAGGATATTTTGAGGTCTAAGTACTCTTTCGTGAAGACACCGCACCGTGATTGTTGTATGCAATGTCTAGCTCTGTGAAAGGTTTGGAACCTGCATTTCAGGGAGCAGGCCAAAAAGTGTATCCTTTTCTGTATAGTAGCAGTAGCTTTACAAGTAAATTGATTGTTTATGTGACATGCATGGACAGGAAAGTTAACAATATGCCTTTTTGTTCCAATTATGTCTGTCATTAATATGCTACCCGAGTATATATCTTTGTTAGAGATTCTTGTGTGTTTCCTTCTTAACTGGCTGTATATAGAGGCATTGAGATTTGGAGGATTGAGAACTTCCAACCAGTTCCTTTGCCAAAATGCGATTATGGTAAATTTTACTCGGGTGATTCATACATTGTCTTACAGGTGCGTGCTAGTTTTATTTTTATAAACGGATTTTATGGTCCTGCAGAACATAGGTGTTAGGATAGTAATAGTAATCTACATTAAGAACTTCAATCTGATTTGCAGACTACTGCTGGTAAGGGTGGTGCATATTTCTATGCCATACACTTCTGGCTTGGGAAGGATACTAGCCAGGTATTGCATGACATTTGTTCCTAACAACAGCACAACACAATACTACTATCTTTTTCATTTTCTCTAAATATTGACAATTCAATAGGATGAAGCTGGAACAGCTGCTATCAAAAGTGTAGAGCTTGATGCAACTCTTGGAGGGCGAGCAGTACAGCACAGAGAAGTACAAGGTCATGAATCTGATAAATTCTTGTCTTACTTTAAGCCCTGCATTATGCCATTGGAAGGTGGTGTCGCGACCGGATTTAAGAAACCAGAGGAGGAAGAATTTGAAACACAGTTGTATGTTTGTAAAGGAAAAAGAGTTGTTAGATTGAAGCAGGTAGGGAACCTTTGTATCGAACTCTAGTCTCTTGCACTGCTTTAATATGAGCTTTTCTTCTACAACAATCAAGAATGTAAAAGTATTTAATTTTTTGTAGGTCCCGTTTTCTCGATCATCACTGAATCATGATGATGTGTTTATTTTGGATACCAAAGATAAGATATATCAGTTCAATGGTGCAAACTCCAATATTCAGGAAAGGGCCAAAGCATTAGAAGTAATTCAGTTTTTGAAGGACAAATATCATGAAGGAACGTGTGGTGTTGCTATTGTAGGTAAGTCTTTTACGACTAATAAGATTACTCTTCCCTTTGTTGCTGCTCTAACATAATAGTCTGTATATTTCATAAACAGTTTTATGAAAATTTGAAACTGTGCTTTCCAGATGATGGAAATTTACAGACAGAATCAGACTCTGGTGAATTTTGGGTGCTTTTTGGTGGCTTTGCTCCAATTAGCAAGAAGGTTGCTAGCGAAGATGATATTATTCCTGAGAAGTCTCCTGCTAAGCTGTTTTGGTATGCTTATAAAATATAGGCATTGAAATTGGAGCTCAGTTCACTTAAATTGAGAGTTATTTATAAATTTCTTAGACATGACCGATGGCTCTGTTGAAATAGTGAAGGTTAAGTAGTAACTTGAATACTGGTTGAATATTTACATAAACAATTTATGTAAAAGTTTGAAACATTTTAAAAAACAGTATGTGCAATTGTGCACATTTCAAATAAGTTTTATGATGGCTAAGAGTAAGAGAAAATAGTGTCCTTGCCAGAGACTCAGCGGCCGTGCTTTTTGAATAGAGAAACTAGGGGCTATGTTCTGATGTGCTGGATCATGATGACATGATTTTAGCCCTGGACCACATTTTGTGGTTTCACAAATTTGAGATATTAAAAGTTCTTCTCTAGCACAAACTGATAAGAGGTCCCTACTCTAATTTTACGGTTCCATGAGCTAAATGCCTACGTTGATCTTGAAGGTACATGGAGAAACAGGATCCATTTTAATAGACTGCTGATCTTGTGCATGAAGAAAACTATATATTTGCAGAATAAGGAAATGTTCCTTTTAGAAGATTCTAAGTTTCTAACACTACCTATAACGTCAGGAGTTTCTCCCATGTGATATGTTATTCTAAATTGCTCTATATTTTTCATTAACTTTTCTTATGGAAATTTTAAATTGTATATGACTTCAACCGTTTCTCTATGTAGTATATCTGCAAAAAACTCTCAGTTAACCTTCAATCAACAGAGTTGAGATTATTTATTTACATGAATGGATAAATCTAAGTTGGTATGCTAAATTTGTGTGTGAAAACACACTATTTGTTTGCATAGCACAATTTGTGTAGGTTGATGATTTTTTGCAATCTAACAGATGATGCTAATGCCCTCTTATTCTGTTTCAGCATTATTGCTGGTCAGAATCCTGTTGATGGTGAACTTTCCAAATCTATTTTGGAAAACAACAGGTGCTATTTGTTGGATTGTGGCAGTGAAATATTTGTTTGGGTTGGCCGTTTAACCCAACTGGATGAAAGGAAAGCTGCTCTCCAAACATCAGAGGTATCAATCTAGCTGCTGTGTGATTGTATGCCATTTTTACATACTATGGTAGTGGTTCTTAGACCTTTATGCTAAATGATATTTTCAGAAATTCGTCAGAAGTCAAGGGAGACCCAAGGCAACACAAATTATTCATCTCATTCAAGGTCATGAGACAAACTCCTTCAAGTGCAAGTTTGATGCTTGGCCATCAGCATCATCAGCACCTGCTCCTGAAGATGGAAGAGGGAAAGTTGCAGGTAGATTAAAACAGCTGATGTAAATTGCTGAGTTTTCTTGAAACTAACTTTGAGCGTATTCTTCATCCTTGTAGCTTTACTGAAGCAACAGGGCGTTGGAATCAAAGGTGCGACCAAGACTGTTACGGTATACGAGGAAGTTCCCCCTTTGCTTGGAGGAGGTGGAAAAATAGAGGTGTTCTTATCTTAATTCTTCAAGTTTGTCATTAAGTGTTTATTTCACTGTTTTTTCATCTAGCTACTTGTTATGTGCTGCTAACAAAGATCGTTATCAGGTTTGGTGCATTAATGGAAGTGTAAAGACCCCAGTTGCCAAAAATGATGTTGGTAAATTCTATAGTGGAGATTGCTACATTGTCCTATATACCTACCCAACAAATGATAAGAAAGAAGATTATTACTTGTGTTGGTGGATTGGAAAGGACAGTGTTGAGGTAATAGAATCGTATAATCCATTTTTCTTTCTTCTTCAACTTTTGGTAAAACTATTTGCAAAAATAGTGAATTCTAGTTCCAATTTTGTTGATTTTATGTTCGTTCAAAACTAGAGTATATTATTAGTATGCTGCTTGTTATTAGTTGAGGTCTTGAGGATGTATGCTGTTTTTCATGGTATGCTTTTATTCATCCAGGAGGACCAGAAGACGGCTTTTCGGTTGGCTACTGCTATGTGCAATTCACTGAAAGGAAGACCTGTAATGGTAATGCTGGTTATCACTTTTAAATATCTGTATTAAGAATATGATACTGTCAGATCAATTTCACTGTGGAATGTTGGTATCAATCAGGGTCGAATATTTCAAGGGAAAGAGCCACCACAATTCGTTGCAATCTTTCAGCCCATGGTGGTCCTTAAGGTACCTCTCCTCCCTTCTTGTACAATTAATTCTTAAAACTAAACTCTAATCTAGTTGGCTTGACCTCTTTCTCATGTCTCTTTTAATTAGGGGGGGCTAAGCTCTGGCTACAAGAACTACATATCTGACAAAGGCTTAAATGATGAAACCTACACTACTGATTCAGCTGCTCTTATTCGGATATCTAGAACTTCAGTGCATAATAACAAAGCAGTTCAAGTTGATGCAGTATGTTTTTTAGTTCTTCAACTTTTCCATCTAGGCTATTATAACTTCTATTTCTTACGATATTATTGAAGACTTGAATCCGTTTCTTTATTCATGGATACTTTAGATAAACTTGATAATGTAGAGAAACCTAGACAGGTTCATAGTTTCCACAACCCTACCCATGTTTCAAATTGGAGTGTTTATCCTCTTTATGGCCTCAAACAGCTAATACTACTGTTGCTGCTACTTGTATTGTTTGCAACATTGGCATATAAACATGCTTTACTGAATAGTTTTGGTATGTGTTTTGGTTTTCACTTTATTAGTATTGGTGTTGAAGTGCTGCTTCTGGAAATTGGTCGTCTGTTAACAATAAGCATGTTCAGTTTGCTGAATATATATTAAAATTCTGATCCTAAAGTACCCTATGATGTTTTAACATGTTTAAAAATGAAGATTAAACATTGTTTCCACCTAATTCACACAGTGGCACACACTCACAACCTACAGTTTTAATTGAGTAGTGCTCACCACAGGCTTCTGTTCTTCGTCTTCTATTTACAAGTTCTTTTGTTTTGTAAAACTTTCAGGTGGCAACTTCCTTGAACTCACATGAATGTTATCTTGCTCAATCTGGGTCTTCAATGTTCACTTGGCATGGAAACCAGAGCACTTATGAGCAGCAGCAATTAGCCATGAAGATTGCTGACTTCTTGAAGGTACAGTTCTTTATGGAGATTTTGCAATGAATGATTTTTTCCCTTTTCTATTACGTTGGACATACCAATAGCTTAAAAACCTCATGCTTTGTAAAAAACAACGAAATAGTTCACGCAACAAAGAGTATGAAGAAGGAACTCAAGTACCAAAAATATAAAAACAATAATTAAGGAGAAACTGCATCATGTAGTTGCATCATGAATTTAGAGCATTGGGTAAATATGTACTTCAGTAAATTCATAGGATAGGTTAAATGTGTAATGAGAGGACAAGCCATAAAGGACATAGGTTGCATCTACACAGTTTCAGTTTGCAATAGTTATCTTATCCAATAAATATTTCCCTACTCAATTATTATGTTTGGAAAATAAATATTTTCCCCCAATGATGAAAATATTCAATAAATGTTGCTGGGTTTCAATTAATATGGAGTACGGAGTATAATTGAATTTAACTATTTAAACAGCTCTAATTCTGATAAGTTTATAAAAAATAAATTTTGATGCACATAAATTCTTTAACAAAATTTACATATAATGATAACCCAGTAGAGCATCACGAAGTGATAACTGATATATACTCCATAAAAACAGACTATTTTAAATCAATCTTGTAAATACAAAATACCTTTCATTCAATTATTTTGGGCCAACTAGAAGCGTTAATGAACCGTTACACGTGTACCTTTCATTCATCGTTTGTGGCATTATTGTATTAATACATTCTACTACATAATGAAAATGAATTCAGCCAGGAGTAGCTGTGAAGCACACTAAAGAAGGAACTGAGAGCTCTGCTTTCTGGTTTGCTATAGGTGGGAAACAAAGTTATAACAGCAAGAAAACAGCCTCAGAGGTTGTCCGTGATCCTCACTTATTCACTTATTCTATGAATAAAGGTACTGTTTTTATGAAGTTAGACAACACTTTCATTCAATAAGAATCATGTTTCGTCACTGACCCTTTTTTTATAATATGCTTCCACGTGGATCCCCAGGAAAATTTGAGGTGAGTTCGGGAACTTGAGGTTAAATTCTTGAATTTCTTGTATTAAAATTTCATTACATTGTTCCTTCTCCGTTCTTTCATTCTTAAACCCATAATAACCGGTCAGGTTGAAGAAGTGTACAACTTCTCTCAAGACGATCTGTTGACGGAGGATGTTTTAGTACTAGACACACACGCTGAAGTGTTTGTTTGGGTTGGTCAATCAACTGATCTCAGCGAAAAGCAAAATGCGTTTGAAATTGGGCAGGTCCTTCTCATGTTAATATGTTATTACTCTGGTTGTGTATTAATGTGTATTCATTCTCATCAGGTATTAATAATGTTGGGTCTCATTGCAGAAATATATAGATATGGCGGCATGCTTAGAGGGATTATCTCCTAGTGTTACATTGTATAAAGTGACTGAAGGAAACGAGCCTTGCTTCTTTACTACATATTTCTCATGGGATCCTGCAAAAGCAATTGTATGTAGCAATTTGTGAAATCTAATCTTAAAAATTCTGCATTTTATCTAGTATTTGGTAACTTAAAAAATTTAATATTGAATCATTCTTGAGATTAATGTCTTCCATATGCAAATGTTTTGGTTTTCACAACTTGTACAAACAAACATAAAACACAATTAAGTTGACATTTTCCATATTTCCGTAATGGTGCAATTCCATGACGCACAGATCAATACTCTTTCTGGATTTAGATGTGCTTGCCTTGTCAAATATCTTGTGAAGTCATGTTCATTTTTCTTAAACACCATTCTCGCATACTCATAAGTTCCATGTTATTGATTTCCTTGTTAATGTAACCAGGCAAATGGAAACTCATTCCAGAAGAAGGCTATGCTACTCTTTGGAGTAGGTCATGGTGCAGAGGTAAGATAAATTTGACAATATAAATTTGACAAGATATGGTTATTCGAATAAAATTTTGCAATATATAACCATCATTTTTCAAAAACATTTTTGAGCAACATAACTATCCGTGTTATAATCTGATCCAAGTCATCTTAAGTTATTCTATTTTGTCATGGATTAAGTTTGTATTTAACTTCAGTATTGAGTTATGTGGTGTTGTGTAGTCATAATAAGTTAAATTCCAAATGTAAGATTCAAAGGGTAAGCAAAACATTCATCTTATTTGAAACAGTGGTCTTTTGAATTTTGGAATCACATTTTATTGAACATGTGAAGTCTGTACTCTGCATATGTATTCTGCGCAACTATTACTACTCACATGTATCTCAAAATTGCTTTTGTTTTTGGGGTTCAGCCAAAATCCAACGGGGCAAATCAGGGTGGACCAACACAGCGAGCTTCCGCCTTAGCTGCTCTGAACTCTGCATTTACTTCAGTATCAAAACCAATTGTAACATCGGGGCCAGCAGGAAAAAGTCCGCGATCAGGGAAAAGCCCAGGGTCACAAAGGGCAGCTGCAGTAGCGGCTCTATCTTCTGTTCTCTCTGCTGAAAAGAAACAGCCAACTGATACCCCTCCTGCACGATCAAGTAAAAGTCCACTAGCAGAATCAAGTCCTTCTGGTATATAATCTGAACTAAGTTATCTCTTTTTCTAACTTATGGGTGATATAATGTTGACCTTCGCAACCTTTTTTCCGTCCCAAGAGAATTTTTAATTTTTGCTTGAATCTAGAATTCGTTTAGTTTAAGGGTGGAAAATGGAGGGGTTAGATAAATCCCCATTTGAATTGTCATGGGTGGACTGAAAAAAAATACATTAATCATTTTGTGATCCTCTAAAAATTTACTGGGAAAAAATGTATCCATTCACAATTCATTTTTTATCTTCAATACTTAGCAATCCTGGTATAATCCTTCTGCATGTACTTTATTTACACCACCCATGTTTTATCGTTCATAGTATTTCCACATTACATTTTCTTTGAGTCCATGGACTGGGATGAGGTCACTGACACGCGCGCAAATGGTTTGCAGCCGGAAATGATAATGAAAAGGCTTCTTTTGAGGTTGAAGACCCCAAAGGATCATCTCCTCCTGCTCCTACAGTTAAGGAAACAAATGTGTTTGAACCTACGGTGGAGACCAATGGTGAGGAACACGAGGAATCAAAAACAGAGCAAGAACAAGATGGCAACGACAGTCACACCGTATTCAGTTATGAACGGCTGAGGGCTAAATCTGACAATCCTGTAACCGGGATTGATTTCAAACGCAGAGAGGTTTGTGGCCCAAAACAGTAACACCATCCCACCCAGTCCAAATCTTTCTTTTTTTTGTTTGTTCTTATTTTTGTGCGATGGATTTCCAGGCTTACCTATCTGATGAGAATTTTGAGGCTGTTCTTGGGATGAAGAAGGAAGCGTTCTATAAGCTACCGAAATGGAAACAAGACATGCACAAAAGGAAAGTTGATCTCTTTTAGATTTCACATATACCAAAATACTCCTCCCACTCGTTTCTCATGATTATATACTCCGTAGTATATTTGTTTGCAGTTTTTCTTGGCTGGATTTGAACATCCACCATCTCTACTGCACTTGGCAGTAGTTTTTTGTTTTTTTAATCTGCCTGCTTGATGAGTGCTTTTTTTTTACTCCCCTCTTTTTACTGCTGTGTTTGCCCCCACAAAAGTCAACGGTTGCAGTTAAAAGACGGCATGAAGCCAGGTTGGTTCGTTGATCCGCTTGAGGTTCAGTTTCACTCAGTCACTTTGTTTATTGGTCAAAAAGGGTGTATAAACTGTATATGTGTTTGTACTCAAATTGATTGAATTCATTGCAGACAATAATTAGCATTCTGAAGTCGGATTTACATCACTTGTCTATTCATTCTTTAAGTATTTATTTGTTTGTTTATTGTTATTGCAGAGTATTATTCATCTCAACCATTTTCTTTTTTTAAGTATAATCCCTTGCATCGGCTGCATCTTTTACAGTTTTATGAATGCTTTCCAGTTTAATTAAGCCGCTTTCCAAAAACATTCATTTTTAAGAAAAAAAAAATTTGAAATGTCAAATAAGTCTTTGAAATGAAGATTTAATTTTTCAGTACTATTCACTATTTTTTTTTGAAAACTATTGACTCTATTAGTGATTAATAATGTTGTAAGAGCAATGGCATTAGCAAGACAAATGCCTACTATGCCTTGCCATATCAGCTCCCAACCAAAGTTGCCTTGTGTGGCTTCTCATTCCACTCTGCGTTTGGTTCCATGGGTGAGGCAGCTATCTCAATATCTTTTTTTGCACAAAAAAGCTTGTTTTTTTAAAAGAGTACATTTATTCTTTCTTTTTTTTGGAAAAAAGATAATTAAAATAATTTTTAATGATTAAAATATGTTTAAAAAAAGTGTAAAAACTAACAAAAACGATGACTTGTCACTACAAGGCATGTCATTCCACTCTCTTACAGACATCTTTCTCTCTTTAAAAGTATAGTATTTCTCTCTATCACACATTCACACCCCTCATTTCCCTTTACCATATCTAACCATTTCTCATTGCTACATAGCCTATTCCCCTCCCTATTCTCCTCATTAGTGAGGAGGCTCTAAGAACACTGATAATAATACTCTTGAAGCCTCGGTGCTTCAAACCGGGGTTTCAAAACTTCTTTATCTGTCACGTCAGCTTTAACTTACATCGAAATTTTACTGAAAATGTGTTTGAAGCCTTGAGCTTTAAAACCTCTATTCTTTACATTTTTGAATACACATCTTCTAAAATTAAATTAATAACATTTCATTATTTAATTTAATTTAATTTAAACGACAATAATTCATTAAATGAAAAAAATTACATTGAATAAAAAAATAAGATTTGAATAACAACATAAATAAAAGAAAAGTAAAAATTACATTACATTATGAAGAAATTAGTGATTATTCAAGCGACTAATATATCTTCAATCCAATCCATTGTTCATGCATTGTGAATCTCTCGACTTCGAATTTTTTGGCAGTTTATTCATTTTTTTCATCAATTTCTTCGTACGTAAGCAACTCCTCGTCCGGGTTGTAATGACAAATTGCAAACATGTTGTCCTCTATGATCATATTATGAAAATAATACATGCTTACATGATATTCCTCATATTCGTTTGAGAATAACACTTGGACGGACGATCTAGAACGTGCCATTTACTTTCAGCACCCTGAAGGCTCGTTCAATATCTTTTCTCGCCACCTCATTAGCTTTTTTGTAGGTTTAGCGTCTAAGACCCATTAATTCGGAGAGAGACTTGATAATCGTGGATAATCTGAAACCGACGATTGATCAGGAAAATTGGTGTCGTTCGAGCCCACAACACCAAAAAAGTATGCCAAACCACTAGTCATTAGAAGCCACAACTTCAAGCATGATAGTAGTCTTTCCAATGCGTGCAATCGATGTTCCCAAGCATGCCGACAAAGCTGTGTTTAGTGGCATGCCTAGCCTGTAATTGTTAAAAGTCGACTTACGTAAATAGATAAAATTGAATAATAGCTTTAGAAAATTTATAAACACACGACCTGATATTCCAAGCTGACATCTTCAAATATTTTTCAAACATATCAGATGTTGTCCGTATGCTATATGGCGAAGCACAGTGGTGCACTTCTGGACACTTTTAAAACCGAGTCGGCCTCTCGCATCAAATCATTGGGTGAACCAAGGCACCCCGCGTTCAATATCGATGAGTATGCGTTAAAAACGAGAACAACTCATACGAAAATAATTACTGAAATCTTCTAGTGCGTAGACGCACGAAGTATTGAAGTAGTGAAGCGTGTGCAGCCACCCGATCATGATTTAAAAGCTCGCGTCAGGTCGGGCATCGGGACGATCCCGCTTCTTCTCATCGGCCTTGTTGCCACCATTGATAACAACCCGTCTTAAAACTTTATTTCCATTATTCATACGATCAAGATTTAATCACTTAGTCATGTCAGTTTTTGTTTTGTAAAACTTTTGATATAATTTTTTTAAATATATAAGCTTTATTTTTAATTTTATATATATAATAATAATAAAATCAGTCAAATCTCGTAAAAAAGAACAATATAAAAAAAGTTTTGAGAGGGAGGGAGTAAGAAGGAAAGAATTTTCATTACAATTTTTTTAGGGCAAAAATTCACATGAATACTCCCAGAAATTTCAGTTTTTACATAAATACTCCCAAATTTGTTTATTTACATAGTTACTCCCACATTTGTCTGTTATTTACGTCATTACTCCGCGATTGCTTCATCGTCAGTGTTCCTCGGATGCGTCTTTTTAAACGGGGTTCTTCATCATTTTTTTATTGAATTCAAATTAAATTAATATGAACACACTTGATATTAAACATTAAAAACATTTAGGAAGTTTGAAATCTAATTTTTTTTAAAAATGTGATGGAAACAAGGGAAATGATTAGGCTTACTAAGACGTGAGAAAGTCGATGGAGAGAATAATTTGAGGTGAATTTGTTATATTATAGTGAAAAAAATACACATCTGCATTTTAACTGCTCACTTAGCGCAAAAAAAACGCATTCAAGTAACACTAATGTTCACTACCAAATTTGGGAGCAATGATGTAAATAAAAAAATAATGTGAGAGTAATGATGTAAAGAAACAAATTTGGGAGTATTTATGTAAAATCTATAATTTTTGGGAGTATTCTTGTCAATTTTGCCTCTTTTTTTTTTTTTTTAGAATACACAATTTTCTGTCATTTCTACACCTGCTGCGATTTTACTTCGCCCCAAACCCATCCAGCATACGGAGGTTTATCCTGTAAATCCCATGGCCTTCTTCCCCAATAGCTTAAGCTCAAACGTTTTCAGACACGACTCAAAACCGTCGACGTTTTTCAAGCCTGAACTCGCCTCCACCCGAACCGGAAAAGTACCCTCCGTTGTCTACTGCAAAAAGTCAAAGAGTGAGGACGCGTTCAAGGAGAAGAAGCGGGCCGTTGTGGACTACGACACGGGGACCCACTTGGTCTCCGTTCAAATCGACGGCCTCCGGAAATCCGACTTGCCGAAACGGAACCGGTTGCGGGTGGAAGGCGACCGGTTCCAGAAGGACTGGCCACTTTCCCAGGTGGTTGCCAATGTAATGAAGCTCAATCACTGGGAAGATATTGATGGCGTCCTGAACAGGTGGGCCGGTCGCTTCGCCAGAAAGAATTTCCCAATTCTTATTAGGGTAATTCCTATTTCATACTGAAAGCCTAAAACTACTCACTTTGTAAAAGAAAGTTATATATAAATCTTATTGTAACTTGCTCTCTATTTGGTATAACTTGGTTATTTCATATTAAATCTACGGTTTACTTCACATTATGAGCTTTCTAGGAGAAACTACTGCCACAGTTTAGACAAAAAATTGTAAAAAAAGTTATATATAAATCTTATTGTAACTTGCTCTGTATTTGGTATAACTTGGTTATTTCATACTATTAAATTAACGGCTTACTTCACATTATGAGCTCTCTAGGAGAAACTTCTGTCATTCAGACAAAAAATTAAAATTTAAAGTAGGATAAGGCTCCATTTGGTTTGAATGTATATACACCCGATGATTTTGTTGAAATGCACTTATTTTTACTGAAATTGTAGTACTGAGTTATGTTTATGCGATGTTATATTTTTGTTTAGAATAGGAATAGTGTGATGCCAATCTCTCTGAGTTATCACTTCAAAATGGCATAGGAAATAACAGAGCTTGGTTCAGTCGAGCATAGTGTTCATGTTTTCAATTGGATGAAAAACCAAAGGAACTACTGTGCGCGCAATGACATATACAACATGATGATCAGGTTGCATGCGAGGCATAATCGTACTGACCAAGCCCGCGGCTTGTTTTTTGAAATGCAAAAATGGAGGTAAGCAGGTAAGCTTATGTTACAGTCTTACAGACCTAGAGTTTCATTAATTAATTATTAGAGTAATTCTTGTCATTACTATTTGTTAGACACCACACACACCTTTGGGGGGGGGTGGTGTGCATTGAGTTGTAGCTCAAACGACTATGTTTTCACGGAAGCGTTCTTGGTCAAAACCAATGCACCACAAACAAAAGAAAGTGAAGGAAAATAGCAAGGAACACAACGATGTATACTAGTCCGGTCTAATGCCTACATCCAGTCCCCGAACAACCGTGTTTGAGCCTTCACTACCAACCCATCAAACTTAACGGAGTTTAACAATCCGGTTCAACTCGAGAACTTGATTTCACAAGCCTCTTATCTTAACACCAAAGCTTTGATTTCAAAAGACTCGGGATTTCTTCCACCTAGTGGTTGATTTCATAAACAAATAGGATTTCTACCAACCTACTTGACATAATCCCAATGTCAAGATGATTACACCCTTTTTTTCAAAATAAAGAAAACAAAACAACGGTACAATTACTCCCACTAGACTGACTAGAGTGGATTACTGCAATAGAAAGATTTCCTATAGAATATGGTTACAATACAATGATCTTGTATAGAATACTCAAGGACTCAAGCAATGAGGATAGAAGACTCAAGCAAGAAAGGATTTAGCAATCAAAACATTGTCTTGCTTGGAAATGAGAAGGGGATTGAGTAGGAACTCTTTGAATAATCAAAGTATATGTTAAGGAATCACATTGAGTATCCACTCCCACATTTAGTTACTATTCTTAAGGGATTCCTTATAAGGATATATGTTATGTTTGCTAGTATGATTATGGTAGGTCTCCTATAAGGTATTGCCTATTTGTATTCAGGAACTCTATTAATAAAAGATTTGTTAAAGCAAATCAAGAATCTAATAGTCACGGATTATTGTTCTCTAGCAATCTCTTCTCTAACCACAGACAGAGACAGTGACTCTGTGTTCTCTACTCATCATTGGACGAGAATCCTTTATAAAGCCCTTAATACCTTCTTGATTATTAAACATATTCTGTCTTTAGTCATGCAGATTTCTCCACAGAAGTTGAGGAGTCATGATCACTTCTATTATTACGAATAATTATTATGTTCAGAACCAGTTGTTTACAATCACTTTTTGTTTTGCTTTATTTAGTGTTTTTTTACTACTGCTGGTAGATTGTGAAGATATTTGACAATTAGCTTGATTCTATCATTCTCAATGTTCGCACTATTTAAAGTATAAAGTCCTTTTTTGATCATTCAATGTCGGGTCTTCTTAGTGTGAAGTCATTTATGATCATTTCATCTCATTCTTTTAAATTTCCAAAAGGATGCAACAGCTAGAACGATTAGTTGGAAAGCCAAAACTTGTCAAGACAAGAAAATATAGTTTTACTCTCAGACTTCAAATGAGTGACTTATCAATCTGGATGGGATGAAATTTCAAATGCTAAAATTTGCGGTAAGTTATCAATTTTAGGTTGTTGTTCAAAACATCCATAAATTAATCCCTTACAGATTGACAAGTTATTCTCATGATGAGTGGTATTGATTTCACAAGATTCATATATGCTATAACTCTACAATTTTGGAGAAATAACACAAATTATATCACATTGATTTTCCTCAAATACTATGCAAACTTGTCTGATCAACAATGGAAGAATTGAATCATAAATTGGCATCAGGAGACAACAATATCATATATATTGATGTTGAAACATACAATGCTCTGCTTCTCTCATCAACGCCTGCATACAATGATACTATGATAGCCGATCACAGTAAACAAACTCTTAGGTTATTGCTATCACTTATTCTAATCAGATGATAATTTCATTTGCTAAATGACTTAAGATCAGTTTCTATTCCAATTCTGTATTAAACTACCCATTTATAATTGTTAGTGGACATATTAGGTTCATACTTATTGACCTTCACTCTAAATACTGATATGTGCTTCAACTTGATCCTTTTAGGTGTCATCCTGATGCTGAAACTTATAATGCTCTCATCAATGCACATGGTCGGGCTGGTCAGTGGCGTTGGGCAAAAAATATCATGGAAGATATGCTTTGTGCAGCTGTGTGTGTTTGTTTTCCTTCCCTAATATTTTTTGTAAATCATTTGCTTTTGTTGTGAGCTTTTATCTGGTTTTTCATTTTCCACGTGCTATATTTTTTATTGGTAATAATTACAGATTCCTCCAAGTCGGTCAACATACAACAACTTGATCAATGCATGTGGGTCTAGTGGGAATTGGAGAGAGGCCTTGAAAATTTGCAAGAAAATGACGGAAAATGGGTGTGGGCCTGATCTGGTGACTCATAATATTGTGCTTTCTGCTTATAAAAGCGGGGCACAGTATTCAAAAGCACTATCCTATTTCGAACTAATGAAAGGAACCAATATTCGCCCTGACACTACCACCCTGAATGTTGTGATTCATTGCCTAGTGAAACTTGGATTATATGATAAAGCTATTGATATTTTTAATTCAATGCGAGAGAAAAGGGCAGAATGTGGCCCTGACATTGTCACATTCACTACCATAATGCATATGTATTCTGCTTGTGGGCAGATTGAAAACTCTGAAGCTGTTTTCAGTTATATGCTTGCAGAAGGCGTGAGACCGAATATTGTTTCGTATAACACACTACTAGGTGCTTATGCTACACAAGGGATGAGTGGAAAAGCTTTATTAGTTTTGAATGAGATGAAATGTCATGGAATGCGTCCTGACATTGTATCATACACATCTTTACTCAATGCCTATGGAAGATCACAGCAACCTGAGAAGGCAATGGAAATATTTGAAACAATGAAGAGAAACAACTTGAAACCAAATATAGTGAGTTACAATGCACTTATTGATGCCTATGGCTCAAATGGTTTTCTAGCTAAAGCGGTACAAGTGATGCGTGATATGGAGCATAATGGTGTGCACCCAAATGTTGTCACAATTAGTACCTTATTAGCTGCCTGTGGACGGTGCGGTCAAAAGGTGAAAATAGATTCCATTATTTCAGCTGCTGAAATGCGTGGCATCCAGTTGAATATAGTTGCTTACAACTCAGCTATTGGAAGTTACTTGAATGTTGGGGAATACGAGAAGGCTTTGGATATATACAATACAATGAAAATAAAAAAAGTCATGCCCGATTCTATTACATATACTGTGTTGATAAGCGGGTGCTGCGACATGTCAAAATATTGCGAGGCACTTCAGTTTCTCGATGAAATGATGGAAATGAAAATTCATATGTCCAGGGAAGTGTATTCATCTGCAATTTGTGCATACAGTAAGCAGGTACGCTAGCGAGACAAATTTGTTTATGAGCATGGCAAGCTGTCTGAAATCTCACCTTATTCCCTATCTCTCAGGGTCAACTTGCAAAGGCAGAATCTATGTTTTCCGTGATGAAAATGGCCGGTTTTCAGCCTGATGTTATTGCATATACAACAATGTTACATGCTTACAGTGTTGCAGGTGAGCAATCTGCTTACTTAAAAACTTGTCTTATATTTTACATACTTGCTTGTATCTCAGTGTCCTGAATAACATGTTTAAATTTATCTTACAGAAAATTTGGAGATGGTTTTCACAGTGTTTAGAGAAATGGAATTAAATAATGTGATTCCAGACTCGATTGCCTGTTCATCTCTTATGAGAGCATTCAACAAAGGTTGCCAACCAGCCAAAGCTCTTATTGTGGCAGAATTCATGCGAGAAAGGAATATCCCTTTCAATGATGCTATTTTCTTTGAAATGGTTTCTGCATGCAGCATGTGAGTCTTGTTCAAGACCCTTAACGACTACCAAAAGTTTTTTTTTGAAAGATCTACCAAAAAGTTGATGCTAAGAGTTATTCATTTATCACTCTCTGCACTTGTTTAAAAAATTGAGCTCATCTTTTTTTGTAAAAGCTGACTTATTATCCTCATTGATACTTGAGATATGACTTGAAAGGTTAGTAAAAAAATCTCTATCCACTTTGGTAAAAATAAAAGTGAGGATCTGGAAGGTGATTGTTATTAGGCATTACAAACTGCTTCTCTTTGGTCTGCCACATCACACCTGGGTCTTAATTTTTTTATCATATATTTGCCACAGTTCATCACTTCATTGATCTTTTTACTGGAGAATATTTTTGTTCACTTTGATCTCTAAAATTCCAATATAGTTATACATGGTACTATGCTAGCACAGCCCTATAAAATTCAATGAATACATTCCAAAGAGATAGCCAGATAGGAAGATGTTTCACAATAATATACTTCCTCCGTTCTGGAATATTTGTATGGTATTCTTTTTTGGGCTATCCCACCCTATATGTCCACTTTCCTTTTTTAGTAAAAAAACACATTCTCAATTTTACCCTTTCTCATTTACTCATTTTACAGCCTCTACTTGCTTTAACCCCATCCATGAGATCTGACTCCACCTGCAGAAATGGAATTCAATCCCTATGACCTATCTTCATACTTCACCCTTTATGATCTTCGTTCTTCATAATTGGCTGTGCTCCATTAAGCTGCCCAAACTAAACCTTGAAGTTGAGCAAATTATTTTCCGACGCAATTTTAAGAACCCCTTTTGCTGCTGATTCGCGATTGTAGACCCCTTCAAATGGAGTATATAGTTTCCTCTGATGTTCCCCGTCATTGTGATGTAGTCCAATTGGGCTTGCAATTCTAAGAACCCCTTCGTCGACTATAACCTTTTGATGTAGTCTGATGGCATCTGCGTCTTGTGATGTAGCTCCAGCAAACTCGTCTGTGGTTGTAGTTTGATGGTTGTGCCGTCCCCACTCCCCACTCCCCGTCTTTTAAATGAAGGGCATTTAGGACATTTTCTCCCTTTTCCTCTCTTCCTTGGCATGTGTGTTAAATTCAAAGTGGACAAACACTCTGAGACGGAGTATGTTATATCGAATCTTGGCTGCAGGCATAACACATAGCTAACTAATCTAAGGTTGGACATATATTAGTGCAATTCCTATGTAAGTTTACCAATTCCAGAGGACATATATTTTATACATCCATCTATGTAATTTAAACCAATTCCATGTATAAACTGCATACATTTGAAAGCATCTTCTTTAATTTCGAGTAGGGGCAAGGTCTGTGTACACACACCCTCCCCATAACCTACACTTGTAGATTCTAACTAGGCTGTTTTCCATGTATAAACTGCAATAAAATGTTTGGGGGATTAGTTGGCTGCTTTGACAAGGAACCTCATTGCGTCCTTGTTGACCTTTTGCTCCTGTTTTTTTCAAAGCAAACTAGATTTTTAATTTGAATAGTTCAAACATTTATTGTCCAAGAAACTGAATTGTTACTGTATGTATCCAAAGATTACAAGATTGGAAGATGACATGTGAAATTATTGGAATGATGGAGGCTTCACTCCCTGGTATTTCAGTTGGAATTCTGAACCAGCTTCTCCAGTGCATTGGAAAGTCCGGCAAGATTGAGACCATGATTAAGGTAATTCGAAAGTAACCAGATATGTGTTTTATCCCCGTAAAAGGTCTAGGTAATCTCTGATACATTCATTCTTGTGTGTGCAGTTCTATTTCAAGATAATTGCATCAGGTGCAGAAATAAACTTAACTACATACTCAGTTTTGCTGAAAAATCTTTTGCGTGCTGGAAATTGGAGGAAATACATTGAGGTAAATTGATAAAATTTTATAATCTTGGCATCGACTGAGCACTTGGGATTTGCTTGGATGTTGCGAAGTGTTAACCCAGCCCAACAAAACCAAGATTTTGTGATTTACAATGTAAACCACTTTTCTTGTTCTGTTTCTGGAAATTAGTTGAGCTACCTGATGTTCCACGTTTGGAAGTTATTTATAAACTTTAGGTCACATAACATCATAGGAAGGAGGTCGTTGATATTTTACTTATGAACAAGATAAATCTTGATACGTGGTCCTAGTTGACTGGCTATAAGGATTCAATAGAGACATGAAGGAGCCCAAATACGGTCAGGCATAAAAAAAGGATTCAATAGAGGTATGAAGGACCTCAAATACGGTGGATGGTGATGCCAGTATTAGAATTTTCATCTCATTGTTCATTTTTAAGAAGTTGGTTTATGAAGGGCATCCAACTTAAAACATCACGACTGCTTTTTTGCATATATTTATAGTGGTAACTGGCAAGTGATCTTAGACAATATATTTTTACTAAATTTAATGCCACTTAAGCTGAGATTAAGGTGGTGACGGTGATGTCTATGGTAGTTCACTTGACACAATTAGCAAACCTTGCATAAAAACAAATATTTGAAATCATGCATGTGCAATCTTGGTTAGAGAAGAGTGATTGATTTAATGAGTGTTCTTTCTTCACATTCTCTTTTATGGCAACACATCAAAATGGTTATTGAGACATTTCTACACGGGCGAGAAAATATACCAGACTTCATAGATCTCAGTCCTCGAATAGATGATAATAGTGAAGTTCCAAGAAAATTGGAGGAAAATGACATCTTGCTAAGGTATACAGAAGTATTTATGATAGAATTTAGGATGGGGAAAGGGTTACTTGATTGGGCGACACGACACTTGGGTTGAACCACCTTAAATTACTTTGTTCAACTCAAGAGCATATAAACCCATTACATTCTTCTCACTTTTCCGATGTGGGATACACTCTAACAAATTACAATAACTGTTCTTGGGGAAAACAGAACCCCAAGAGGCCAAAGCTTAAGCGTAGTTATTGCATGCAAATTGCAGCACCGCTGCTGCCACAAATTCCCGTGACGTGTGATTTCTTCCAATTTCATAACTATTCTCTAGTTTGAAAACTTCAAATGTGTTTGTTAATACTTCCATGCAGGTGATGCAGTGGATGGATGATGGAGGGATCTGACCTTCAAAGGAAATGTACCAAAACCTACTCTTCTTTGCTAAGAGGAGTGTTGGAACTGAGCATGCTGCTGTAATAAAAGAACGAATAGGTAATGTTCATTTCTCCATTATTCACTATAAATGTATATTAGCAATTTATGTTTGATTTTTTGTCAGTTCACATAAGTAGCAGTGTTTTAACATACTAGTATGAGTTGAAAATGTGGAGTTCTCCCCACTAGTTCTACAAATCCCACCTAAGCCCTACCAACACTTCTTTTTGTCGTATTTATCTTGCTTAAACCCCACATATGTCATGCTTGAACCGCTCCTCAGCTCTGCTTAAAAGCATATGCACTACTACTGCAGAGTGTTTTCAGGACATGGATAACAACTACAACCTCTTTCCCAAAACGGGTTATTTCAGCAAGGTACAGTTTCTAAATTTCAGTAAGGTAATTAGTATTGAAATTTGAAAACCATCCTTTCTAGTTATATTAAAAGTATTTTTGTTGGTTTAACTATTCTGAGACTTTTTATTATTATGCCAGGCATAATATGGAAACAACCTCCCTCCTTTCGAGTAGGGTTAAGATCTGTACACACAACCTCTTCAAACCCTACTTCCAAGGGATTCTACTGGGTTGTTGTATGCCAGGCATAATACGAGTCAGTTTTTTTATTTATATGACTCTTTTTGGGACAAATAAATTTTTAAAAAGAACTCATGTTTTTGGGACAGAGGATGTATACTATTGTTACCATCTATTCTTAGAACAGGAAAATATTCATAGAACAAGAAGTTATCCTGTCTAAATCTCACATATGTCATGTTTGAACCCCCCGGCCCTGCCTATGATACACGCTGGAGCTGAGCTGGGAGGAAGCTACTAGATTAGTTATCAGTTGTAACTAATTCTGTTCCATTTTTGTTATTCTGTTTCATTTCTGTTTTCTTTCCTTGTTGATACTCGATCAGTATAAAAGGAAGGGAAGGGCTGCTCTGTATTCAGACATGCGAATGATAATAAACTCTTCTTCTTCTTCCCTAATCTCCCCTAATCTCTTCTCCGTGGTTGATATCTTGGTTCTGCCCTGATTCTACCTTCTTGATTCTTCAAAACCTTCTTGTTTCTTAGATTCTCTGTTTGTCTGGCACCAATTGGTATCAAAGCCATTGATTCTTGGCCATCAATCGATGACGAGAGCCAGAGCATCAGAAGTAGCGAATGATGAGATGGATGACAAATTTGCACAGATTCAACTTCAGTTGCAGAAATTAATGGAAGGAATGAGCGTCATCAATGATCGCAGCTCACGAACAGATCAAGAGTTGGGAAAACTCAAGGGAATTCTGGAAAAATTGGAGGTAACCGATAAAGATAAGGAGATTGATTCATCCCATATGAACAAGGAGAGGGAAATCGAGTCATCTCACATGAACAGACGCCATGATAACCTCCATCATAATGCGTACCATGGTAATTCTCTTACCAGATTCTCCAGGCTGGATTTTCCAAAATTCTCAGGACAAGAACTCAGAACCTGGTTATACAAGGTGGATCAAATCTTCGCTATGGACGAAATTCCTTCAGAGCAGAAGGTGAAGGTTGCGGCAATACATTTAGAAGGAGACGCTATAGCTTGGCACAGATCATTCATAAAGCACCTCAACCTGTTTGAATGTACCTGGACAGAGTATGTGCTGGCTCTTAATGAAAGGTTTGGGGAAACTTTTGAAGATCCTATGGAGGAACTCAAGAATTTGACACAAACAGGAAGCATTAAGGAGTACCAAGCATCTTTTGATAAATTGATGACAACTGTCAATTTATCTCTTGAGAATGCTATCAGCTGTTTTATTGGGGGATTAAAACCAGAGTCCAGAAATCAATAAGGCTATAAGAGTGCACAATCCAAAAACACTGATGCAAGCTTACAAGGCTGCAAGGTTACAAGAAGATGTTTTCAATGCACAAGCTAAGTCATGGGGGCTGAAGGCTGCTGGGAGGCAGCAGGGTGGTATTTTACCCACTCCAGGATTCCAGAAACAAATAGCCCACCATAAGCCACTCTCAAACAAGACTGTCTTAAATGAGGAGCAGGTTAAGCCATCCATGGGAAGAAGACTCACAACTGCTGAAATGGATGAAAAAAGAGCCAAGGGCTTATGCTTCTTCTGTGATGAGAGGTATGTTTCTTGTCATAAATGTGCTAGTAAGAAGCAAATATTTTTAGTTGATGTTGTAGAAGAGGAATCAGAAGTGTGTCTGATTCAGATAGTTCAGTAGAACTGGATGAGCTCATGACAATATCACTACAGGCTTTAATGGGAGTAACTGAATATTAGACAATAAGGGTGACTGGTTATCGTGAAAAACAACCTCTGCAGATCCTTATTGACACTGGTAGTACTCACAACTTCATGGATCAAACCATAGCCAAGAAATTGAATTGTGATACTAACCAGATTATGGAGCAATCAATTAGTGTGGCTGATGGTAGGAAGGTTCAAACAGCTTCCATTTGTAAGAATGTACAATGGCTGCTACAGGGTACCATGTTTGAATCTGATTTCCTGCTTTTGCCATTGGGAAGTGTGGATATTGTTTTAGGAGTGCAATGGTTAAATACCTTGGGAAGGATTCTGTTTGACTTCAAAAATAGAATCATTGAGTTCAAATTTAAAGGAAGGAAGCATGTTTTGAGGGGAGCTAACAGTCAGATAAAAACCACTAAAATGAGAACCATGGAAAAGGAGTGCCATGAGAAAGCACAGCTTTTTATGATGACAGTAGCCACAAGAGCTGATACTGAGTTCTCATACTACCACATACAAGCTGAAAAGGGTCAGACAACCTATCCTGAGTTAGCTAAGCTCATTGATGAATTTGGCAGCATCTTTGAAGTGCCTAAGGAGTTACCCCCTAGAAGAGGAACATTTGATCATAGGATCCCCTTAAAAGAATCTGCTAATCCTGTAAATAAAAGGCCCTATCGATACCCAGGTCTAAAGAAGGACATTATTGAAAGGTTGGTCTAGGAGATGTTAGACCAAGGGGTCATACAACACAGTTGTAGCCCATATGCCTCACCTGTGGTTTTGGTTGGAAAAAAGGATGGAAGTTGGAGGTTATGCGTAGATTACAGGGAGCTGAACCAACAAACAGTTAAGGATAAGTTCCCAATTCCAATAATAGAAGACTTGCTGGACGAATTGGAAGGTGCAACTATCTTCTCTAAAATTGATCTGAGGGCTGGGTATCACCAATTAAGAATGCAAGAAGCGGATGTTCACAAAACTGCTTTCAAAACTCATGAAGGCCATTATGAGTTCTTAGTGATGCCTTTTGGGCTAACTAATGCTCCTTCCTCATTCCAAGCACTTATGAATTCTGTGTTCAAGACAGCTCTAAGAAAATTTGTGCTTGTCTTCTTTGATGACATTTTAATCTACAGCAAAAATTTAGCTGACCATCTGGTACATGTAAGGAAGGTCCTACAGATGATGAAGGAAGCTCAGCTTTATGCTTAAAATTCTAAGTGTGCTTTTGGGGTCTCTAAGGTAGAGTACCTTGGTCACTACATAAGTGCAGCTGGGGTGTCCACTGATCCAAAAAATTTTTCAGCAATACAGCAATGGCCTACTCCTAGTAACATCAAGCAGCTCAGGGGATTCTTGGGGCTGGCTGGCTACTATAGAAGGTTCATCCAAGGCATTGGATGTATTTGCAGACCCCTTCATGACTTACTTAAAAAGAATGCCTTCCACTGGACATAAGAAGCAACTACAGCTTTCAATAGACTCAAGCAGGCCTTGGTGAACCTACCTGTCTTAGTTATGCCAAACTACTCTAAGACATTCATCATTGAAACTGATGCAAGTGGCAAGGGCATTCGGCGGTTCTAATGCAGGAAGGGCACCCTATAGCTTACATTAGTAAGTCTCTATCACCTAAACATCAAGCCATGTCAGTTTATGATAGAGAATTGCTAGCTCTTATCTTTGCTGTTACCAAATGGTCCCACTACCTGGTGGGGAAGGCATTTGTGGTGAGAATTGATCAGAAGGCCTTGAAACACCTATTGGCCCAGAGTGTACACACAGATTTTCAAGTGGCTGGGATCACGAAGCTGATGGCCTGTGATTTCACCATTGAATACAAACGAGGGGTTGAAAACAAGGTAGCAGATGCTCTTTCTAGAAACCCAACTGCTGAACTTTTAGCTCTGACCCTCCTAAATCAGGATACACAGTTGTTCAGTCAAATCAAAGATTCTTAGGAAGTGGATGTTAGCCTACAGGAGGTGATTTCCAAGTTACAACATCAGCGTCATAAACATTTTACTTGGATTCATGGGCAACTAAGATGGAAGGGTAGATTGGTGGTGGGCAATAATCCCCAACTGAAGGAAACCCTCATAGCACTTTGGCATAATACTTCTCAAGGAGGGCATTCAGGCATGGATGCCACAATAAAAAAGATGCAATCTCTTTTTTATTGGAACAACCTTATCCAAGATGTTAGAGACTTCATCAAGAAATGTGATACATGCCAAAGACACAAGTATGATGTTGTTGCCTACCCTGGTTTATTACAACCTCTACCTATTCCTGAAGGGGTATGGACTGATATTTCCATGGATTTCATTGAGGGTTTACCTAAGGTCCAAGGAGGGGAAGTCATACTGGTGATAGTGGACAGGCTTAGTAAATATGGACATTTCATTAGCTTGCAACATCCATATACAGCCCAATCAGTAGTTCAACACTTCCTGGACAATGTCTATAAGTTACATGGCTTCCCACTCACAATAACAAGTGATAGGGACCCTATATTTCTCAGTACATTCTGGAAGGAACTGTTCACTATGGTAGGAGTACAACTGCAAAGATCTACAGCCTATCACCCTCAAACTAACGGCCAGACAGAGGTTATAAACAGGACTTTAGAGACATATCTGAGGTGTTTTTGCTCTGACAGTCCTAAGGCATGGGTTTCATATCTTCCTTTGGCAGAATGGTGGTACAACACTACTTATCATACAGCTATCAAGTGTACCCCCTATGAGGTACTATATGGCCAGAAACCATATCAAGTGTACCCCCTATGAGGTACTATATGGCCAGAAACCACCACTCCATCTTCCATATCTCGCAGGAGAATCTGATGTGGAAATGGTGGATAGTTATTTTATTACAAACACGGACGTACATAAAAAATAACACTGATATAATTGACTAATTGTTACATTCTAAAGTTTTTCCTCCTAAAGTTTTCGGCGCGATCTTTTAAGTTAACATTCTACTTCGTACTTCCTCTATTTCTATTTAACTATCCATTTCCTTGTGTGTCAAATATTTGAATAATTATATATAAAAATATATAATGAATTAGAAACAAAAGAGTAAATTTATTACCAAATTGTTGCTATAAAAAAATACTTTAAACGTACTCCGTATTATTTTTAATATTTTTTGCTAATATATTTAAAAAGATGATGGTCAAACTTTAAGTTCGAAGACGATAAAATACAAAAATACTTTAACTTAAGTTATAAAATACGGAGTAAAATATTTGTACATGAAAGTAGTTGTATGGTTTGCACCTATAATATAAATATGTTTTTTTTTGAAACACATCAACATATGTAAAAATATATTGGTAATTCTTTTTCTCCAAGTTCATTTGATAAATGAAATATTAATAAATTTGATCAATTTCGGGTCTAATCGGTTTCGGGTCTAATCGGTTCCGAGTTTAATCGGTTCGGGTTAAGTCAGGTTCGGATTTGAATCGGGTCTGGAGGTCTGGATACATTTGGTTCGGTTTGGATCATTTCGGGTGTTCAGTTCTATTTCGGTTCTTCAGTTTTCGGGTCAATTCGGGTTCAGTTTCGGGTTATTCGATTTGGGTTATCGGGTCTGGGTTAGTTTTGTCAGGTCTACTATTGCTACCATCTATTCATAGAACAGGAAATTTATTCATAGAACACTAAATTATTCACAGAACAAGGTAGTATTGATTAGTTAGTAGAGATATATCATGAAGTATGTGTGGTTGAATCTTCAATTTCCAATCTTACTACATACAATGTTTTTTTTTTTGCAGAAGCAATGAAAACAAAATATGGGGATCAGACAACCAGGGTGCCTGCATCTATCCATTCCACAAGGCATTGAGTGAGCTGAAAAGTAGTGGCATATCAATTCTCATATAATAGTTGCTTCTCCCAGATGCACATGGAAGGTCTATCATCTATGTATGGACTGGGGAGTTCAAGAGACCTAATTTTGCCTTTTCAATACTTGCCCCAACCAGAACAGTGATATTTGTTAGTTTAACGCGAAGTCTGACAGCTCGGCCAATTGATGAAAAGTTACGATTTTCAGTTTTCCACAAGATCAAATTACAGTCTATGTGCACGCAGCACAAAGCACGTTTAGCTGGCTGAACACAACAATGGCATGCACATCATCCTTGCTGCTTCATTGGCATAGTAGCTAATTGCCTCCTTGCTCATGTGAAGTTTTGTAACTGCATCGATAAATGCCAGAGTACGAAAGTCGAGTATACTTCGACTAGTAAATGTGACTTGCAAATTACGGGAAAAAAAAGATTTGTGTAGCTGATATTGAGTGTATAAAGTAAATACTTCATTTGCCCTATATCTAAAGTCACACTTTCTTTATTTGGCACCTCAAAACTTAAGTCATATTTCCATTTTTGGTTTACCAAACAAATCAGATATATTATAATACTCCTTTTTTTTTCAGTCACTTTTCTCTAACCACTCAGTTTATATCCTACCATTGCATCCCAAGGGCAAAATTGGAAGGTCAAAAGCCTTTTATAATTTGTCTTATTATGTGTGAAATCCACTTATAACTTCATTTACGGGATAGGAGTAGTTGATGAGAATGTGATGATTTTGAGTCTACACATATATGTCCAAATGCAGAGATACCAGGACTATATTGAATGTTAATATGGCCAAATATGAGATATGACACTGGGACATATACTAAAGGTTAGCCTGGAACACGAAGCTTCCCCGTGAGCAGGGGTCTGAGAAAGCGTCCCAAATTCATGATGTAATGTAGGCAAACTTTACCTGCATTTCGGCGGGGCTGCTTCTAGGACTCAAATTCGTGACCACATTGTCACCCAGCAATAACTCAACTGCTTGGCAAGGCTCTCCCCTTCGTTGTAGGACGTATACTACATTGGAAAAATATGACAAACATACTCTCCATAGTTGGATGAAGAAGTTGCGAATCTCTCGTAATCAAAGTCACTTTTATACAGAGCAAAGTTTGTAACTTCCATGGAACCAATTATGGACTTGGGACTCCCAAGAAACCATATGATTTTGATGGATATATATTTTACACAGTATACATAAAAAAACAAGTCCAATACAATGAACCTAAGAAACTAGAGTATGAATGAAAAAAAGTTGGGAAACAACATCAGTGAAATACTCCATGAGAAAAAAAAGCTAGGATTTACCTTTCTGGGTTGATTTTTTATTGGTTTTGTAAAGAATATGTCCTGTGTTGAACACTCAATATGTTGGAAAAATATAAACAAAACTTTGGCAATGAAAACTGAGGGGTTAGTGCTGACAATGCAAGAATGAAGCACATGTTTTACAACAATCCTTCTGGTGCTCTGATGAGATGAGGAAGGGAACAGTTATCCCGGCGACGTGTTTTCTGATTCTCGTATGTTCCAATGCCGCCGTAAAAGAGATCTTGTGTGGGTATAAAGATAGACAGTCATGTTGTAACCAGTCGACTTCATACCATTTAAGACGACATATACCAGCTCAGCACTGTCTTCTCTGGAACAAAGAAGGGACTGGAGTAACTTGTTGCAGATACGTGGCATCAAACGTATACCTTTCCCCGTGGTATAAAGAAAAACCTTCACAGCCTGATCCAGACTTCCATTCTCAATCAGAATGTTAATTAGCACCGCACAACTTGGAGCAGACACAATCAACCCAAACTCCTGAATGATATAGAAAACCTGCACTGCCTCCTCAGGTCGACCCATCTGACACAACCCGATTAACCAAATGTGATATGGGGCTGACTCAAAGTCTGCCAGCTTGGTTTCCATTTCCAACAAACTCTTAACTGCTTTAACCATATCCCCTTCCTCAATATGTTTCTCAACCAATCGAACATCCTCTTTGCCCCTCACGGGTTGGCTCCTCAAATACTTCAACCAGAGATTACAAGCTACAGTGATCTTCCCCCTGCGACAAGACCAAGTCATCATTGACTTGTAAATGCTGGAGCTGAGAGGAGAACGTCCGTCCTTACTGATAAGGTCAAAAAGTTTAAAAGCATCTTCGTCCCTCCCAACCCTCTGTAGTCCATCAATGAGGGTCCCATAGGTGACCGAATCGGGGGCAAGACCCTTGATTTGAAGCTCCTCAAAGAGTTTCAAGGCACTATCGATTTTTCCTGTTTTGCACATTGCATTCATCAAAATGTTGTACGTGATGGTGTTAGGGGCGGCCCCACTATCCGCAAGCTGTATAAGAAGCTGATAAGCCTTAAGAACTGACCCCGACTCACATAACCTATTGACCCTTGATTGGAGACTTGCCGTGTTGTGAACGGGATCAATGCCTTGAGAAAGCCGAAGAAACAATGAAGGTTTCTTCCCAATCTCCATCTTGAAAAACATGAGCCGCGCTTCGTCAATCTCGCCAGATTTACAAAATCCGTCTATAAGAGCATTGAAATTTTCAACCGAAGGAGAGCAACCTAGTTTCTCCATTTCGTTGAAGATATCGGTTGCCTCCCCCACCAAACCATTCCTGCACATACCACAGATGAGGAATGTTGTGGTGTAAGTGTCCGGAAAGCAACCGTTCTGTGACAACTCTAGCCGGAGAGATCTTGCTTCGTCAAGGAGACCCATATCACAATACCCCTTAATGAGAGTATTGTAACATTGTGTATCAGGTAGTACACCTCTTTCAGTCATTTCCCTCAGTATATCCAATGCATCCTTCATTCTACCTTCTTGGAATAACCCCTTAATGATAATAGTGTATAAAACAACGTCCGGCGCTATGTTTTTCTCTAGGAGCTCCTTATATAACAAATTAGCTTCACTAATCCTCTTAGCTCCAATCAGACCATCAATCAAGCAACTGTATCCCTCCAGTCCTATAACATAACCTTCACTTTTAAATGACTCTAGCAACACAAGTGCTTCATCAATCCTACCTGACTTACAGAACCCATTGAGCAACACATTGTAAGTTACATTATCTGAAGTGTGCCCTTTACTCTTCATCAAGTTAAACAGCCTACACGCATCGTCTATTCTCCTTGCCTGACAAAGCCCTGAAAGAACAACCGTATAAGTCGTTCTACTTGGCGATATCCCTCTTTCACACATTTCATCAAACAGTTTGAGTGCGTCCAGTGTATTCCCGCTCTTACACAATCCATCGATCAAAATGTTAAATGTAGAGCTGTTTGGCAAACAATTTGACTTCAAAATCTTACTGTACACAGCTAAAGCTAATAAAATTACACCTTTCTGAACCAAGCCGTGAAGAATGGAATTATACGTACACAAATTAGCTCTGCAGTCGAAATCTTTCATTCTTTCGAAGCACTCAATGGCCATCTCAGCCTTATCTAGCTTCCAATAGGCAGAGATCATCACCGCGAAAGCATCCGGATAAATAGGCATTGCCGAATTCCTTACTTCCTCGAGTGTCTTCCAGTACAGATCCAAATTTCCATCCTTTGAGAGCATATCGATGATCAACTTATGCGAATCCAAGCTGCGGAAATGCTTTTTATTCGTTGTCCAGATGAAGAATCGAAAATTCAGCTCAGGCTTTTGTAGCTTTCCCAGAGTAGAGGTCACCAAATGAGATGATAGGAAACTCGATACCTTTTCCAGAGCAGGTTCCATGGGGGAGACATTTTCAATGATGTTGAGGACCTCGTTGGGTACGTAATCGGGATTTGGCGAACCAACTTTGCGCTTCGCAGTTCGCAAGCGGAGTGCAGATGGGAGGAGTTTCATCCGGTAGCCTGGTTTCCTGCCGCAGGAATGGAGTAATCATTTCTCGTTCATGATGGCCGGTAATGGTTGTTGCCGCCGCCTGCGGTGGCGACTTCCTGAGGATGAGGCAACCGTCGAACTGACGCCGACTCACGAGGGGAGGGAGAGGTTTGAAGGAGAGATTTTGAGCCGATGTGTTTCTGGTCCGATGATGATGATTCAGATCCGGATTGCAATTTGCGTTCTGGCAAATGAATAAATTTATGGAACATTTAACACCAATACTTTCTACAAAGTCCATGAACATTTTAAAGATATGAATAGAAATTATTGTCTTATAAAATATGAATAAAATTTACTTATAAATTATAATACACCTCCTCCCATTCTATTTTGGAGGTTAGTGTTTTGAAAAATAAAAAAGATTTGATATCACTACTCTAATTTAATTGAGACAACTACGAATATAATTACCTAGAATGATTTTGGTACTTGGTAGATATGATATAATCTGAAATATGAGTTGGTATATTCGAAATGCATTGAGTTACTTTCACGCCGGGAAAAGAGATGATAAAGTAAATGGACAATTTTATTGATTTTAATTACTGTTTCTTTATAAAGTTTGATAAATATATTCTGATCTATACTCATACAATGATTCAGGTGTAGTCAACCGGAGAGGCATGACCAGCCAACTCGAAGACTAGAGTGACGTGGCAACTCAAAAATGCAATAATTATAGGCCCGATCAGGTTACCAGGAAGACGACTGGTCATAGTATATATGACCGTGCACAAAACATAATTTCTACGAGTAATGTAGAGAGTCTTGAGTACACTTGTATTATGACAGATCAAATTCTTGAAGAGGTTGCCCCGTTAAGGATCTCGAGCTTACGATGTTACTTGTCAAATATCTTTCATGAACAGACATAACCGTAACCTACATCGGGGTGCGAGGTCGTAGTTGGGGTAGCTAGGGTCCACACACCAATGACATATAGAATCAAATACAAACCCCTTAAAATAACGATAGAGCCAAGGAGCTACAGCCCAAGGGAATGAAATCTATGAGTTAGAATATATACAAAGAAAATTTTGATTTCTCAGAGTATGAGTATATACACACAAAAGAAAATTTTAAAGCAATATTTTTAATGGAAAAATCTAGAGGAACTCCAAGGTAGTGTACTCCTAGCATGTACTGCCTTTTCGCAGACACACATAGACACCTACTATTTATGTGGAACACATATAGTGGGGGTCTCTGTATGTCTGTGAGAAAGTGATGTGGTACACCACCTTGGGGCACACCTAGCAAATCTCTTTTTCAAGTAGGGGCAAGGTCTGCGTACACACACCCTCCCCAGATCCTACTGTTGTGAGATTCACCTGGGTTGTTGTTTGTTTGTTTTCTCATTCTTATTTTCACACCCTATGATGGACATTCATATTAAATAGGCGTTTTGACACTGTTAAATGCTCGCCCTTTACCATTGTATGTTGGCATTTCACATACTAAAAATGTTGGGTGACCAATAAAATTAGAATGCAAAAATTTCTTTTAAAATGTGATTAAAGGCAATTCTATCTCTAAATAATTACTCCCTTCGTCCCGTTTTAAATCGCCCTTTTTTAGACTTTGGAACATATTTAAGGAAGAGAAAAAAGAATTGACTTTTCAAAATTGTCATTACTTTTTTTAGGAGAAGTGACGATGAATGAGAAAATAAGGTGGAGAAGAGTGACTTAGGAGAGTGTATTCAATCGTGATTTTTTAAGATTTTTTTGAACCAATTTAGAATTTTATAGATTCCATATCAAGTTTGACCTATGCGCGACTTTTGTCCATACACTTTTATTGATTTATGTAGATATTTCTAGGGTACAATAGCCATCTTGCATCATCGGGGCTTCTTACATCAATTTTGGGGTACGATAGCCTTCTGAAGTCTGCATAAAATTGGTTGACAACGGCCCTACAAGCCTGGATCTGCATCATCAATTCAATTGGCACTAAAAGTCTCCATCGGAATGATTGGTTGGTCAAAGATAAGAAAGGCAAAGGTCTTGGTTGCAAGATTAAGCAAGACACAGAGGTGGTTGCAGTGAAAGAAAAAGCAAGGCAAAAGATAAGAAAAGTCTGCATAGATCGAAGAAGAGAAGATAGAGTCCTAGTTGCGTCAAATTTGAATTAATCGGAAAAAGATGAAGAGTCTACGAAATCACAGGGATGTTGGTAGGATTTGGTGTCCGGATTTGTATTTATACGCAAGGCATGGAAATACATCAAAATCCACATTATTAAAAATCTATTAATTTTTGAATACTATATCATATTTATAAGGAGGATTTGTAAAAATCTGAATTGAATACACCCAGATTTTAAATGACTTTTTCAAATTTGAATTGAATACCTACAGACTTTCGAAATACAAAAAAATCCATCAAAATCCTGATTGAATACATCTCCTTTAATTTAGGAATAGTTTAGACATTTTACTCTTAAAAGTTCACGATAACAAAAAACAGATAACTTATTTTGGGTCAGAGAGAAAAAGAAAACAAACTATTTAAAATGGGACAGAGGAAGCATTTGATCTTTCATTTTTGAAAAGCTTTTGGTCTTCATGCGTTTGGTATATTGTTTTGCTTTGATATCTTTTAGACATCGCTTCTTCAGAAATAAGAGTCATTCGGATCCACCATTTCTTTCTAAGTGTTAGGTTTTTAGCTATTTTAAATTTGGTACTTTACGGAGTACTAAAAAAAAATTTCAAAAAAAAACACTTCTTTTATATTACAAATATACTAGGCTCCATAAAATGAACACAAGCCTTAAGTCTATGAAAAAATTCATCTGTCTTCTCTCTTCTTTTGACATAAGATATGATACTATTTGGATTTCTAAGTCTTATTTTGGTATGAAAATAGTAGAGGTCTCATTTTGAAATATAGTAGATATTTTAGTCTTTGTTAAGTATTTTTCCCTAAGGCTTCGTTTGGTACATGGAATTTAGAACATAGAATTGGGATTGACCGGACCATGTTATAGAATTTTTTTTAATGTTCGGTTGGAGAGGAAAAGAAAAGATAAACAAGCATCGAAAAGAAAATGAGAAGCAAAAATAAGCTAGGAAAAGAACAATTTTCCTTCCATTTTAGTGGGGAAAAAGAGAGAAATTCATTCTCTTTCAAATTTCTTGAACCAAACATATTATTAATGTAAATGAGGACAATATTGCTCAGGCAAAACCAATCTATAGTTACAGTATTGACCGAGCACATCTGATGCTGGCATTCTTAAAAAATCCAAAATCACAAAATGTAAAAACACAATCACAATAAACATCCAAAAAATTGTTAATAGATGGCTATAACCATTTGTGTGGCCAAAACATATGCAACACAAAGACAGACCACTATCTCTTTGTCAAAGAAAAAAAATACTTGCAGTTGAAACACTACATACATTTCAAATGCCCTTATGTGACATTAATTAATTATATAGGTGGAATGGTGTATTTAGGTTTACATACATACTCCCTCCCTCTCATAAAAAAACTTGGGTGTTTGGGACGAACGAAAAGGGAAAGGGCGAAGCTTTTTACACGCAGATGGAGAATAATAGAGAATAAAATAAAGCACGGATAGCGTGTTCGATATTGAAACTCAACTATCTTTGTGGGACAAATATTTTCGCATTGTTATATTTACGTGTGTGTATTCATCAATCATCATATCTTATATACCAACTAAGCAGTGCTCGCTCCGCTCCTGCCAAATTGTGACCAATTCAAAACAGGAGGGGGGACATGGACGGAGTATATATACCTTTGTTTAGGGGCTGGAAGGGTCAATGAGTGAACAGCCTGGCAGTCTTTCATGAGGGTAACCCGGAGTTCAGCAGGCAGAGTTGGCTGCAAAATGATTGAAGATTGTCTCAAGTGTGGACTGACCCACGCTATATTCTGAAATCCCCAACTGGTCTCTGTAAAAATCAGTAATTTGCAGCACTAAGGACATGATTTAATTAAATAATTAAAATATCGGGGAAAATTTGATGCAATTTCTCTAGGCACCTACCTGTTCATCTCTATGTGCCCAAATACATCCGCCAGCGAGATATCTTCTCCATATGGCAACTGCAAGAATATCAAGAGTCATCATCGCTGATTCCTTGTGCTTAGTTCTGCCCAAGTCTAATAATAATAAACACACAGACTTGCAGTAAAAGTTTTATCCAACAAAGTCATTCGTTGGCACTTGTGTGGACCAAAGATAATACCAATAAATAATAACAACAACAACAACAAACCCAGTACAGTCCCACAACACTAGGGTCTAGGGAAGGTGTGTGTCGGTATCTTCTGTTTTGCTCAAGTGGCTCCAATACACTGAATAATATACCCATCTATTTCCCCATCTGCTTGAATGATTGAACCAAGGAACCAAAACTTATCTCTTTTAGGCACCGGGTGTGAATCAATCCTTACTCTCACTTCTAACTCAATTGCCCAACCAAAGCAACATTCCACATATTCAGTCCTAGACTCCTAGTCCGGTTCAATCATCTTTGGATTCCAGGGAATGGCGCCACACTTCCAACTGATCATTGAGTCCCTCATGTGTCTCATCAAAAATAATAATAATAATAGTAGTAGTAATAGTAACAACAACAATAACAACAACAACAACAACAATAATAATAATAACAATAACAAAAACAACAATATTAATACTAATAATAATAATAATAATAATAACAACAACAACAACAACAACAACCCAGTTGGATCCCACTACAGTAGGGTCTGGGGAGGGTGTGTGTACGCAGACCTTGCCCCTACTTCGAAGCAGGGAGGCTGTTTCCAAGAGACCCCCGGCTCAACCTGCACAAAAAATATGATAAGGTATACAGTATAGCATGGATAAAACACCAAGTACAATGAAAAGAAAGTTCTACAAGCATTAATAGAAGATTCCAATCAAACACAACACACTACAAAAAACCTCTATAACACCGAGTTCCTAACCAGCTACTCTAATCCTAGTTCTCCAAAGGTTCCTATCTAAAGCCATATCCTCAGTCAGGGTGAGAAGTCCTAAATCCTGTCTAATCACTTCCTCCCAAATCTTCTTAGGTCTACCCCTTCCCCTACTTCCCCCGAAAACCGTAATCCGCTCGCATCTCCGTACAGGGGCGTCAGCATCCCGCCGTCTCACATGACCAAACCATCTCAACCTCGCTCCCCGCAATTTATCTTCCACCGGCGCCATGCCTACCTGACGTCGGATAACTTCGTTCGAAATCCTATCCAACCTTGTCTTCCCACACATCCATCGTAACATCCGCATCTCCGCCGCATGCAGACGACGCACATGAGTCTTCTTAACCGCCCAACACTCTGCCCCATATAACATAGCAGGTCTGACTACGGATCGGTAGAACTTGCCTTTCATCCTGGGCGAAATCTTCGGGTCACACAATACCCCTGAAGCCAACCGCCATTTGGCCCAAGCCACTCCAACACGATGTCCAACATCCCCGTCTAACTCCCCATCAGCCTGGATTACCGAGCCAAGATATCGAAACCTGTCTACCTTAGGTACTAGGGGCGTCAGCATCCCGTCTAACTCCCCGTCTATAATAATAATAATAATAATAATAATAATAATAATAATAATAATAATATATCCCTCCACTCTCATTTGGTATTCCCATTTACTATTCATATGGTCAAACCAAATCTTCTTTCCTTACGTGTTGTTTTTAGAAATTAGTTAACATAAAACAGTCATGTCACCTCTTGTTTATAGAGCTTTTGATATATTTTTTTAAATACATAAATTTTAAATTCCTACCAATATTCAAAGAAACTAAATTAAAAAATAACTTCACTTAGGCATCGTAAACTGAAATGGGAAGATTAAATATGGAAGAGTCGAAGGAGTAATAATATTAAAAACATAACAAGAAAAAGGATAGAAGGAAATATCATTATATGCTCCCGGTTAAACTTTAAAATAAAAAAACTCATGCATGCTCATCAAGATGAATTGACATTACCTGATACTTGACACTCAACCCATTACAGCCTTGAAATGCTGCACCAGGAAATGAAGATTGGACGAATGCATCAATTGCTGAAAACTTCTCTTTAGCCAACCACCACTCACAAAATATTGGAAGCGGAATTCCTCCTATTCGTAATTGCAAAAAAAAGGTTAAGAATTCACCTTTGAATGGCAATTAACCAGCAAAAGACCATATTATACTGGGCGGGATGACGTTAGTTCACATTATTGGGGGAAGGGGGAACTGCAGAGAGCATACCGTGGGGGAAGCATATTTAAAAATAAATAAATGTGTGTGCCTTGCCTTATTTTGCATCCCTCGCATAGGCGTCGCCGTTTAAAAATTCTTTATGCCTTTTAGTCAATGACCCTTTTCATACGCAGTATTTACTTTGCACTAAGAAGTCGCATATTGTTTTATAATCATATTTAGTACTTCATATTCTTCTTTTTTTCATATTATGGTGTGTTTATATTTATTTAGTATGTGTATTTGGAATTTTGATTAGGTTTAGAGAGCCCGTATGTTAATATTTATAGTTTTAGGACCATGCTACACTTACACCAAAAAATATACCCCATTTGTACACCACAGGTTTGCACAAACATTTCGATGGTTTACACCGACACAAGTGTTGGTGCGTTAATAAAAATTCACACGAACACAAATGTTGGTGTGTTTAACAAAAATTAGTTTTACACCAACACAAAATGTTGGTGCAAAACTGCGGGGTACAAATTGGGGTACAAATCTTGGTGTACACATAGCATAATCGATAGTTTTATACTAGTGTTACTTAGTCTAACTAATGTATACCTATGTTGCACGGAAACTTCATATAGGTTGTCGTCTCCGTTTCGGAAACCTAGGACACGCGGAAACGCGTGGGAGACGCCTGGAGACGTCTCAGAAACTCCACGTGGCGTTTCTTGAATTTTAATTTAAAAAAAATGATGGGAGACGTTGGGGAGACGCCGGGGAAACGCGTCTCCCTTTTCCGAACGGATTGGACACAGATCGAAAGAGGAAAAAGACGGAAAAAGAAGAAGAGAAGAGTCGTTGACCCGCGGTTGCACCTGAATCGATAGTCTCCCTTCTCTTTCCTCTGCGATTCCTATGCAAATTGCTAGGGTTTTTTCTTTTTTTCTGTACTCCCTATTATATATGGTTAGGCTTATTTTTCAGATCTAATTCTTGGGCTTCTTTCCCAATTGACACACATGGCCCAAATAAAAGACTTAACTTACTTATATGCCGTGCTAGATACCCCATATATATAAAGAAAAATGGAAAAACTTATGTGGGATAAAAGATTATATATATATATATATATATATATATATATATATATATATATATATATATATATATATATATATATATATATATATATATATATATATATATATATATATATATATATATATATATATATATATATATATATATATATATATATATATATATATATATATATATATATATATATATATATATAGCGTCTCCCCGGCGTTTAGTCTCCCCATTTTTTCAAAATAGCCGTTTAGGCGTTTCCGTTTCGTCTCGTCCCCGTCTCCGTTTCAGTGCTACATAGATGTATACCAATCCTGATTTCTTATGTGATGCCGCCTAGGTCCTAATTGTCGCCTAGGCGTCATGGCAGTAGTAAGTACACTGGCGCCGCGCCTCGCCTTACCGTGACAACTATGATCCCAAGTAACTTGGGCTAGGCTACCATTTTATTTTGCATCATGAGAAAAGTTCATGTAAACTTATTGATGCCAGCACCTACCATCCCGAACTAACTGCTCTACTAATTGCTCAACTCGACCAGAAGAATCAACAGGTGCACATGCAATTTCTTTTACTCTCTCTTCATTGCCAAGCCAGCTTCCAAGTGTCATTATCATCTCTGCTGTTAAGCTAATCTCTGCAACAGATGTATGGGACTCTATATTTCCCATACACTCTTCGATGCCATCAACTCTACTCCTTTGAAGGGGAGGAAGGTCAAATAGTTTCTCTTTAACTAGCTGGCATAGATTTTCCAAGTCATTTGAGCTGACCTCAATTGGTTTGACCTAAACACATTTGATACACATGTAAACAAATTCTATATAGTGCTCCGTTTATAAGGATATCAGTTGAAAGGAAATTATATTCATTATTACAGTATTACCTCAAGCTCTAGATGATTCCCAAAACGTGTTTTTAAATGTTGCGGACTTCCGATGCATCTCAGCTTTCCTCCAACCTTCAAATAATTTGCATAAAAGTAAGTAAATAAATAAAGGGAAGTACAGACAGTTCTATTTATCTTCTGTTCATAACCCCAGATGAGATGACTAATATTATTTTAGCTCATAGTCAGAGCTATTGCAGTAGCACCAATGGTAAACTGTACCATAATCCCAATCCTTGTGCAGAGAGCTTGAGCTTCATTCATGCTGTGAGTTGTAAGGATGACAGCTGTCTTTCCACATCTAGTTGACAGACGAGATATAACTTCCCACATAAAACGCTTGGCAATAGGATCCATTCCTAAAAATTTACAGTTAGTCAACCTTGGGAACCAAAATATCAAGACAGCACGATGCATAAATAATTTCAATGTCAAGTTCCTACCTTGTAAAAATATGTACCAAAGAAACAAACAGTATCTAACTGTACAATGAGACTGACTCATAATTTTACGAGTCTGTGGGTAAAACATCCACAGAATGTGTGTATAGTTTTTTGTAGCAAGGAAAGTTTGGTGCATAAAAGAATATATAAAAGGGTCATTCTTGACAATGTTTTAGCTTTGCAAAAATAATGGACTTGATCAAAATGCAAAATTAAACTTCTCTTGCTTCTTATTTCTATGAAATTTTGGGAAGTAAATGCATCAAGGGCCTAACCAAAACAACCTCTTTGTTTTTCCCAGTGTAAGGTTGCGTACATCGTGACCCCCTCAGACCTCCAAGGGGTTTATGGATATACTGGTCTATTGTTGTTGTGCATTGTTGACCACTTTTCCTATGAAACTTACAGTTGCGGATAATAGATTTAGACTAAAACTACCCCAAGTTCTATTGTCATTGGTCCAGCTATTCAAGCGCAAATGCAACCTAAAATACCTTAAGGGTCCGTTTGGTACACAGAATTGATAGGAATTGGAATTGAATTGGAATTATAATTCCATGAGATTCAATTCCATAGAATTGAATTCACCAATTCCAATTCATTTTTTGCACTACCAATTCCAAATCCACATAATTTTTGTGCTACCAACGCTAGAATTGGAATTGAGGTTCTCAATTCCAATTCCATAGTTTGAATTCCGTGTACCAAACGGAGCCTAAGGCTCTTTCAAAATCAGCCATCATCAGTTTGTGCAATCTCTAAAAGTTACATGCATATAATCTGCACAAAAAACTTGGGAGAAATCTCATGGGCGTTTAGGAAATAAGGTCATCAATCAAACTAGAGAGCATGTGGAGAGCTTCTAGTGGAAAGGTGGAAACACAATGAACAAAAACAGCAATAATGATGAAAAGAATGCTGATGTCCCCATGCATGCAAATATCTAAAGTTTGAAACTACAAATGATTACTCAACTTGGAGATTTGGAACCAGAAATCATATAAAATGTAGAAAAAGTACATCTAATTACCAGTAGAGGGCTCATCAAGGATTACAATAGGTGGATTTCCGATCATTGCAATTGCAACAGACAACTTCCGCTTGTTCCCTCCACTTAAGGCAAAAGATGGCTTATTAGCATGCTTCAACAGGTCAAACTCCACTAACTTTCCCATAACAACCTGTCCAAATTACTTTGAAGAAATCACCCAATGATTGATCAATAGACTAATCACATACGTGAGCATAGTTTATGCAGATTACACCCAAAACAAATTTGACTAATTTTAAAACGTGGAGTTGATGTGTCCCATGCCGGCTACTTTTAAAATGACCACTTTTTCTTCTCTTTTTTAGTCTCCCATTTTGCCATTTACTCATGACAGAGGATAGAATCTTTTCTAGAAGTAGGGTAAATTCTCTTTTTCATCAGTATACATACAAATGATGCAATTGAAAAGTCTAAGAAACGCGTACATCGTCTAGCTCATACTCTGGTACTCCTTTAATTCTTGCATAGAGCTCAAGATGTTCTTGGACTGTTAAGAATTCTAGTAGAGCATCAAATTGCGGACAATATCCAATCTGGGCAGCAGAAATACAACATAATGAGTTGTATGCAACTCACAGAGCTAAGCAAATCAGATTTTTAAACATTTTATTAAAAAAAATAAACGTATAAGGTCTGTAGATATCATTGCATACGTCTCTACGAGCAATCTTTGGGTTTGAACATATGTCTCTGCCAAAAATAAATGCAGTTCCATCACTTGGTTGTTCTTCTCCTGTTCAGTAAGTCAGCAGTTGAGAAAAGAGATGTTCATATCATTGACATATTTGATAGTACTACAGTGGATCCATTTCACAATTGAAGTGGCATGACAGAAAAGGGATCTGTTATACCCAAACCCAGGGTCTTATTAAGTAGATAAGAAAATGGTGGATTTATGGATCACGTATGGGGAGGAAGAAATTGGGGAGGATTATTAGAGGTGTTTGAGGAGTTCTTTTATTTGGTTACTTTTTATGAGGAAAAGAAGAGATTTAGGAGAGAATATGGAGGAGAATTCGAAATGGGAGAATAAAATGGGAGGGATAAATCCGGGTCAGTGTTAAGAGATATACACACTCTTATCTTAACTTGGGGCTTGCTATCTTCACTCACACATTAATCACTACTAGTGTATAAGATTGGACTCCTAGCATGACTCAAAAGTAGCCAACTTAAGAGACATTTCATCAGGAAATTGTTTGATCAAGCATCACACTGATTCGGAGAAAACACACTCAAAGAGTATTAACTTTATTTAAACTTCATTTTAACGTGTTCTTAGATAAGGGGCAGGGGCCTGATTTATATAAAGGGGAGGATAGGAATTTATGAGTATAAGCTGGCGACAAAGCTAAGTAAGTTTGAAAAAAAAGTAACTTTTACAAAATTAACTTTTCCTAAAGTGATGCATGCTTGATGAGTCGTGGTCTTTGTTCTTCTTTTTTTAGTGTAGTTCGGCCAGGGGAAATATAGGGGACTAAATGGGTGTTTGTTTTAGTTCTTATGATTTATTAAGTCTTTAATGGATTTAATAAACTAGGTCGGGGTGGGTTCAGTCATGTTATATGTTTGAGCTCAAAATGTGGAGGTTCGTGGTGTAGAGCTGAGCCCGGGTATATCAGGATCCTACATTTTAAATTTTTAACATATCAAATGTATCATGGGAAAAATCAGCAAATGAGATAACCTCATCTACCATGGAATCTCAAACATATTTTTTTAATGGTGATGAGAATATGATACCACATAGCATTGACAGAGTTGTTGTCTTCCCAGCGCCATTTGTCCCTAGAAAACCAAAGCATTCCCCTTCTTGGACTGAGAAGGTCAACGAATGGACTGCAATTTTAGGTCCATGATTCTTACATCCATCATATACCTGAAATGTAAGGCTTGCTTCTGAAAAGTCCCAATTTATTGACCCAGTAAGCATGTAAAGTTCTAACCTATCTACACATACCTTCCGTAGGTTACACAAGCATATGATTGCATTGTCTGTCAAGCCTGATAGCACGCGAACTCTCTCTGTTTGAACATCTACGTCCTCATCGAGTTCAGGAGTTACATCTACAGATGATTGTAGAAGAGGTTCTGAGGAGCTACCAAAAGTTGCATACACAGCCTCTTTTGATCCTTTCCACCATTCATAAAGTATTGATAGAGTCATCCTTCGATGTGAAAAATACTCAATCCCAAGCGTTAAAAGGAAATACGCGAAGGCCTGTCAGACATCAAAGCTGTTACTCCTTTTCCAAAATCCAGTGATCATTTATAAGTGTAGAAAATAATAGATAGCCATCATCATTATCATCGCCTTAGTACCAATTATGTTAGGGTTGGACTTGGAGGCATGAAATTGATAGTTTCAAAGTTAATTCATACTAAACTTGTGCAGCAAAAGTAGTTGCAAAGTTTTATGCCACATCCTTCCACAACCTTTGTATGAAGGAATAGTGAATAAAAAGGATGTACAAAACTGGCATCCTCGCAAGGTTATTTCACTTGTATGGAAAATATCACAAGACGTTCATGATTTAATATAGTTGTTATAGGTATATCAGATTATGAGATTGATATAGGGAAATAAACACGCACATCATACAAAGTTATCCAAGGCATCTAGCACCACAAAATTTAATTGTCATTATGTTCATTTTTTGTTTGGTTAGATTGATGCACTATGGATCCATGCAAATGCTAGTCATGTTGCCATTACAAGATTGTCATTTTTCCCTTTTTTGTTATCTATAGATCCATAAGGACAATATATGATCCTACAAAGAATCCAATACCACAAAAGTAAACCTTAATGTTTATGCATAGACCATCAAATGTTTTTCTTAAGACCCCCTCCCCTCACCTGTCCAGTGCGGGCATCTCCCCTCTCTTTACTCAGTTTCCTTACATCTTCATTTTCTTTCACGTGACAAATAATCACATTCGTGTAAAATTAACTTCTCTCTTAATATATTAGTATCACTTTAAGCACCTCAATCTCAACTAGGTTCAGTGGCATTAAATTTAGTGTCGATTAGTTTTATAAAACTAATTAACACTACAAGTTCATGAAAAGAAACATAGTGGAAATGTTTTACATCTGACGCCCATCATAATACTACCTTTATAAGATAGAATAATGAATGAATATTCTAAAACTGTAATCATCATCTTGTCATTCCCACGTGCATCGAAAATATTACAATAGAGCTAATGAGCTATGAGTTGAGATGTTTGCTATAGTCATGTCCATTACCTCAACAATACTGCAAGACTAACAGGAAAATCAAGGAACACTAAACATGGACATTGGGAATGAAAAATCAAATATCTAATTCACATGAGTCCAGAGAAGAGACAATGTTTTTATCAAGTTTGCATGACTGATTTTATCTGAGAGAGATGATGCCATTTCATAGGACACATTGTGAAGCTTGCACTCAAGTAAGGATGGATGATCGGGCTTTCAACATAAGTACAGGAAAGTACTCTTGATGATTTTAAAACAACAAAAAGATGGAGTCTATTTATTGGAGAAATCTTCCACAGTACTAAGAAATAAGAATTTAGAGTTTCAATAATGTTCTTTCCATCATCTCCGATGGAGCCAAAATTTCACCATTTTTTGGCTTTGGGGTGTGATGGAATAAATCAAAATGGATCTCTAAACTGTCTGCGCTTCTTTAATTAATGAAGTAGCAGTTAGTCAAGCAATGCAACTTTCGACGTTGAGCCGGGGGTCTCTTTGGAAACAGTCTCTCTACTTTCGAGTAGGGGTAAGGTCTGCGTACACACACCCTCCCCAGACCCTACTCTTGTGGGATTTAACTGGGTTGTTGTTGTTGTTTGTTGTAGTTTCAATAGTTTTTCTTCATGTGGAAACACCTTAATGATTTACAAATTTGATGAATATTACATTGATCCCAACTAAGCATTATAGAATCTGCAAATAAAATACCTCCACAGCTAGATAACAAAGAGAGGCACCAGTCACATCCCAATCAAGAACATGATCATCAGAGTCGGTCTTCATCCCTTGTCGTAGAAGGGCTAGTGAAGCTAGGCCATCAGCAAAGCAAAATCCAGGAGACAATCTAAAAAAGTTCTGCAAAGTAAATGACAGATTATGTAGCTTAAGCACCGCTCAAGTACTATAAAGAAGATGCATGAATGTGCATTGGGAACAAAGAATGAAGTTGAATGTGTGTGCGCGTGCACACATGTGCAACAAAATAAGGCACCAGGTTATATTAAACCAGGCTGCTAAATTATAGAGCAAACTGGTTGAAATTCTACAAAGATGTCATCCTAATTGATTGTAACATGAGAAGAGTTGTTTAGGTAGTTGGATGTGTTAATTCTTTTTTTCTAGGTTAACTGTTATGCAGGTGAATGAGCAAGAACATATTAGGGCCTATTTGGTGATAAACAAAGAAATGGGTTTCAATATCCGAGATATAGATTTCCCAAAATATATGTTTGGTGAGAGTAAAAAAGATTTTGGAATAGAAATCTGGAGATATCCAAAATCTCTCAATATCCCGCTTTTCCATGTCTCTTTTCTAATGCCGATTTCAAACTTCTGAAGCCACCAACAGCATTAGGAAATCACCCCTGCATCTCCTCCTGTGCGCTGTGCGAGGCATCCCCATCTCCTTCCTCCTCATCTCCATCTCCTTTGTCTTCCTCTCCATCTCCTTCCTCTTCCTCTCCATCTTCATCTTCCTCTCCATCTTCATCTTCCTCTCCATCTTCATCTTCCTCTCCATCTCCTTTCTCCCCATCTCCATCTCCTCCGTCCTTCATAGACCTTGAATCCGACCTCCTCCACAGATCTCACCTTCTCCGATTCTCCGACTTCACTGATTGCACAGACTCCATTGGTGAAGTGAACCTAGATGGACGAGAATTTCAATCGCATATAAGTGAACCCATATCATTTCTCTCAGATTTCAGAACTCATATCTTATCATATCTCTAAAACTCACCAAACGGGCCCTTAGAGTAATTAGACATCAGGCGCAAAAAGAAGATGAAAAAGTAATAAACATGTGAAATTGTGAATTCTAAAATACTTAAAACTAGAAGACCCTGGATTTAATCCGCAAATAAATACATTTTAAACTACATACTCCCTCCGTCCCTGAGTGTTTGTCCAGTATTCCTTTTTCGGTCGTCCCACAATATTTGTCCACTTTCTATTTATGGTAAAGAAAATAATATGTAATGTCTATTTAACCCTCATCATTTACTCTCTTCCCCACTCATTCAAATCTAAGCAAATATCTTATCTCTCTTCCTCTCTTTATTCTCGTCCACTCATCTTCTCCCCAAATTTCCTTCGTCTTTGCACGTGAATCAGAGCCGTGCAACGGTGGATGGATACATTCTCCGATGACAATCAAGTGGGAGAATTGGAGTTGGACGGCAATTCTTTAGGATTGTATGTCTTCTCATAATCTAGATCTCCACAATTGTAGAGAAGACATCTTGTCCGTTCGTCAAAATCGAAAACCACTGTCGCCGTTGAGGCTGTCTTCACCACCAACAACCCAGACCTCTTTTGGTTTTCTTTCCTTCCTTCACCGATCTCGGTGCAGCGGTATTACTCGCGACTAACTTTGCAACGGAGTTCTTGTTGTGCTGGGAGGATGATGCTTGGAGGATGGGAGTGGGTGGTGTGATAGCAGGGGGTGCGTTAGCAAGCTGAAGGGAGTGGTGTACCCCGCGGTAAGGCAAGAGGACGGCTATGATTTTTTTGTGCCAGGGGTAATTGAGTCATTTTGCTCCTCATCTTGGTAAATGTGCCAATCCCAAAGTGGACAAAAATTGGGGGACGGAGGGAGTATTATTTATGAAAATGCAGCATGCTCTTTGCATGATAAGAGAACAAAAATTCAGTAAAGCAAACAATGTAGATGCCTGGGCAAACTGTATCACCACCCTCTTATATGTGACTAGGACCATCTAGTATTTCAATGTTTTGTAAGGGCGAACATCCTGCCTAGATAAACAATTAACTAAAGAGAACTTTAGGGTCTGCTATTGACCATGACAATACTTCCTTTGAGTCAAGCAAACATATGTCAAAAGGTTTATATTGGTACCAATATGTATATATACCCATAGGTATAGGAAAAGAAAAATATAGAAATATAACTCCAAGTAATTTGATAATCAATTATTTACATGGTAAACCTATAATAAAAAGAAATTCTAAGATTCACCTGCGCTTATGTTTTATAGAATAGTTGTGGCACAGAAACATGCTTGGTTAAATGAGAGATTTATAGAGAAAGCTATGCATTCTAAATTGTTTAACCTTGAGAAGAGAATTGAGATGTGTTGTTGACTCGATTAGACCCATTATAAACGATACAATCATGAGTATGAGCCCGGTAAAGAAATGAACCAAGAGCACCACATTCTGCAAGTATCACAAGAGAAACATCAATAATCATCAACAGTGATATGCACCTTTATTGATGTTTTTTGTAAAAGTAATGCATGCTACTTGACGAAGCAAAATATAAATAAACGGAAGAACTTTATGATTTATTAATCATGCAGACACATACTTGTGCCATGCTATGCTCCGAGAAGAAGAATGTAAGGCAATATGTTGATGAAGCAATAGCTAGTCCATATTCCAAAAACATGAGAGCAGTAGGGAAGAGAGAATCCTTTCCAACAAATTGATCAAGTCCTGTTTAGGATCAAATGAAAATTATAATGCATCCGGTAACCAATATTATTTGTTGGGTTTATTCCAATAGTATTTATTTTCTTTAATCCTGCACTATTTTCTTTCCGAACATGATTATCCTCATATTAACTTGCCGATCAATTTATTTTTTATTGTGAAACTATAAGAAGACATGAAGCTATATGAGACATTTGAAATGATATTCTACTTTCATTTTATATCTATTACAAGAATGGAGTGCACCGTTACTTTGATAGGCATATATAAACCTGCTTGTCAGAGAAGGAACAACCAATCATGAGGTAGCTGTGAGTAAACATTTAAGCCTGACTTTCAACAGCTAACTTCCACAGTTATCATGGCATTACCGTAGGACTATGGAAATTGTATTTATATAAGTGTCTATTGTTCCCATGAAATCACATCTAGCAATGTGAATCGGAAATCTTCCATTTTGAACTTTTTGCAAATTGCAATCCATACTTTTTCTGTAATTTAGTCTGTTTGAAGCCTTAAGAAAATAATTCAACACACCACGTAAAAGAAGTGATGAAACTTTACAGTATGATGTGGAAGAACCTCCTAATTTGAACTTCTAGAATATTTGTAAGAAATCTCAGTTAAATCAGCTAAGGCCCACTTCTAAAATATAATGGGAGTGTTTACAAACGACTTAAGCAAAAAGCAGGTTGACCTCATTTCAGCTCATTGCTTATTTAAACCACTCCACAACTTTGTCCTTACTAACATTTCTCTGCTACTATTTAGGGACAATTATCTCTTTTAATTATACAATAAGAACATAACAAGTTTTTGTTTGCAAACTCTCAGAAACATTTAAGCAGAAATATATACTCAAAGATACAAGCACTATAAAATTTTGAACCGGATCGGAATACTCTCCGGTTCGCGGTCGGCCGGTCAAGTTCTAACAACATTGGTTGTATGTTGTAAGTAAATGTGCAGCTCAAAGCAAGTCAAATAGGCTACAGGCATACCAAAGATGCAAAAGATGATCAGGGAAAAGGAAGAGGGAAATAAAAAGCTGATGAAGTCCCATATATATGCTGAAGCCCAATATGAAAGTATAGACACCTGAGAAGGAGCCAAATGGTCAAGAAATAAGAGAGCATTGAGAAATGGATAGCAAAACAAGAATCTGAGAATTTAAAGATATTAGTATACCCCACTAATTAGCTGCTGATGCTTTGCTTTTACCTCACGTTCCTGCACATGTCAATGCAGATTAACAGCACAGTTATCAATCATAGCCTCTTACATGATATTCACACAATTCATTCTTGGAAGACTTTTTTCCTTGTCCTAAATAGTAACAAAACCAAATCATGATTTGCATGCAGTCTACTTTTTACAGGGTAGGTGAAAACAATGTAAACCAGACGAATTTTGCATCATGTGAAATCATTTATGTATGTTTTATTTCATCCAAAATTGAAACATATACACAAGTCTGGCTGCACATGGGTGCACATGTACCAAACATGTAGGTGCATGCTCACTTATTGATGCTTGGTATACTCCAAATGCAAGTATAACACCAACGAAACTCTACCTTTACAATTGCAACAGCAAATGAGGAAGGAATAAAGGAAAATGCAATGGTAACAACAACTGCTGCAGAAAACGCGTCCAGATCCTACACATTGATACATTCAAATATCAGAATAAATAGAAAAAAACAGCCAAAACATAACAACCTAGCAAGTAAAATCCCACGAATGGGGTCTGCGGAACAATCTTAGTTCAAACATTTCTAAAATTTGTCAACAACATAGAAAAGAGTTGATGTCATAAAATTTGGCATGCCAAGTTACTAACCTAAATTTGTGATCAACAGTATGACCAGTATCACACACCAAATGTCAGTATTTATTGGACCAGGGAATGGAAAGATTTGTGTCAGATAGCTGGAACAAAATTTCCAGTTCTCAAACTACTCTTTGCAGTGCACTATAGGGAGCCTACGTTATACACTACATAACATTTATATAATGTATAAAGAACAGTAAAATTCTCAGAAAACTGGATCAGAGGGAAAAAATTACAGAAGCACTGTGCATCTGTTAAACATTTAATGAAATTTATTGGGAAAGCAAGCAAGACCTCTCCTACTTTAAAACGACCTTTCATGCTACGGTGCCATAAATGATAAGCTCATACAACGGATACACTAAATACATGTAAAGAAAAGAGAATAAAAATACGGAGTAATATTAAAGAAAAATCATACATGGTGTTGTTGGTGTTGACTTTCAGTCATAGGTAAAGGGTGGTTACGTGTAACAATTGTCATATTCTCATTTTGCGTAGCAAGCCTGAGTATTGCTGAATTCATCACATTGATGAAGGTTGGAGCAGAATGCTGACAAGAGCTATTGTGCAGGACAGTGTATCCTAGACTGCCATCATCATGCTGATTATCCATTACAATTGCTCCATACCTGTTTCAGGAATAAGCCCAATAACGAAAAGAGCTAAACAGCACACATCCCAACCACACACTGATTGTAGGGACATGCTTCTACTTTCATCATCATCTTAACATCTAACACAACCACTACATGTTTCCTTGATGAAAGGAACCACTTGACAGCTTTCGGAGTTCAAAGTTGAGGAATCCCACTGTTTGCTAGCGTTGTATTTTGGTCTCCATGATCTTGGAAAAGCCTTGGTTATGGAGAATAGAATGTGGTAACGCATCTTCATATGACTTAGTTATTTTTTAGGGATGATGAGACAAGGAAGCCAGCTTGAGCATCTTCGTTGATGGAAAAATTAGAATATATATATATATATACATACATACATACATACATACATACATACATACATACATACATATATATATAAGCATGCCTTATTACAGCTTTGAGGTTGATGATTTATGACTTATATATATTGATTTAATCGAGGTCAGTGGTACAGCTTTCATTTAGCAATGTCCCAGCTTTATGACTTTCATTTAGCAAGGTCAGTGGTCAGTAATACATACATATACATTTTTAGTGACCATTGTCCCAGCTTTGAGCTGTACCACTGACCACATACATACATACATACATACATACATACATACATACATACATATATATATAAGCATGTCCAAACTTATATAAGCATGCCTTATATAATTTAGCATGCTAATGTGATTCAAATGGTGTTATAGTTTCTACAATAGCTTCAAGATGAGATGATCAAATATTTCATGCAAGACTGACGGTAAAATTATTCAGCAATGGTACAGCATGAAATTAAATCAGCCAAAATTGGGACAATGGTCACTAAAAATGAAAGTTTGGACATTGAAGGAGTCAAGAGCTGTTTTTTCAGTCACGCCTAGCTATGAAGCTATCCCAAAAAACCATGAGGATATTCTGAATACTTTACAAGTTTCAAATTAATTTTAAAGAGATTAGTGCTGCACCACTGACCTCGATTGATATGACTCATTGAAACTAGACATCAGATATTCACTCATAGAAAGCAGTGCAGGTCCCAAGGTAGACCCAGCTGCCTCAATAGCATCACTTAATGCCTTCCCAGAATTGGGGAATCTATATGTCGTTTGTTGAAACATTTGTATCCATCCTCCCCTAACATAATTTGCGACCTGCAGTAAAAACAAGTTAAGTAAACAACCCTTGAAATTAACAAGAAGCAACAAGGGTAAAACTTATAAGCGTATAACCTCCTTTTCAATAGGCCAGGTAAGATCAAAAGGAATTGGGCCTCCACCGCCTCCCCCACTTAGTAAAGGATTAAAGTACGAAGTTGTAAAGGTGACTGACTGCTGATCAGGATGTGGCTTAAGCTTAAGAAATAGTAGCCCAGAAAGTAAAAAGACGACAGGAATTAGAAGCTGGAAAACAATTGTTTTCATATCTCTCTGAGCAGACTTTGCTCTCTTTATGAATAATGCTTTTGAATGTTTCCAAAACATTGACCTTGAAAATATACAGCAGCAACAGCACTGCATACTTAAGAACCTAAAAGCACTTAAAACTGTAGTCAAGATTAGATAAGAAATTCTTCCAATTATGGTGGCTATAGAACACATAATGCTAAAATAGCTTCCACATGACTTAGAATGGTAGAATCTTTTTGGTGCATAAGACTGGCAGGCTCCCAACACAGCAGTATCACGTGCGACTAGAATTTCTCTCTCCTCATGGCTCTCGTCTTCATCAAAATCACCCCCAGCCACTCTCAAAAATACTTCCTCCAGAGTTGTGACAGATATGCCAAAGCTTTCAATGCCCACATCTTCTTCCCCACAGCTATCAATGTTAGATTTAGAAGTGGACCTTTTCATAAAGCACTCTAGTTCACGAAACATGCTTCCAAAAGAATATGAGGACGTGAGAGGAAGTTTGAAGGATATCTCTGTTCCAACCTACAAAGGATGTCAAAAGCTAAAACATGTTTACAAATGATTAATTAAAAACATTGATACATACAGTTATTTAACCACAAGAACAGCAGTGAAAAATTCTGCACTTATTCAAGAAGGATTGATTTTCTGAAAGAAGATTACTTCACTTATGCATTTAGCAGATGGAATGTGCTGGTATACAATATCGGCAACTGCAGTGGCTCCGGGTGCAGTCTGGAAGCAAAGTTAATGACTATAAGATAGCAAGGGTGTTACACCAAGAAGCCGCGGCTAATAAAGTAATATACAACAACTCATAGGGAAATTTTAATGTGTCATTTTGATTTTGTCCATTATGTACCCAAAACTAAAACATTGTTAATAATGACTCTTAGCTAATAAGAGAAATATGTCAAGATGAGTACCTTAACCAAAGTGAGGGTATAACCAGCTCCGTAGTGATGCTTTAAGAAGAGAGAACTGTCAGTAGAGTTCAAACATGTGTTAAGAACATATGAAAAGAAAGAAG